GAGTTGATCCTCGGCCTCTGATATCCTTTCTTCTGCTTGGTCAATTCGGCTGTTGAAACTTATGCATGCTTTGCAAAGTTCTGTTGTTGTGTTTTTCAGCTCCATCAGTTCACTTATATTCCTAAATTGTCCATTCTTTTTGGCATTTTTGTCACATCTTTTTTCAAGGTTCTTAGTTTCTTTGCATTGGGTTAGAACATGTTCTTTTAACTCACAGAAGTTTCTCGTTACTCACCTTCTGAAGTCTGATTCTGTCATTTCATCACATTCATTCTCCATCCAGCCTTGTGCCCTTGCAGGTGAGGAGTTGTGATCCCTTGTAGGAAAAGAGGTGTTCTGGTTTCGGGTGTTTTCCTCCTTTTTGCATTGGATTCTTCCCATCTTTGTGGATTTATCCACCTGTCGTCTTTGTAGTTGCTGATTTTCAGATTGGGTCTCTGAGTGGACGTCTTGATTGTTGATGATGAAGTTATTTCTGTTTCTTAGTTTTCCTTCTAACAGTCTGGCCCCCCCTGCTATGGGACTGCTGAGGTCCACTCCTGGCTCTGCTTGCCTGGGGATCACCTGCAGCAGCTGTAGAACAGTAAGGGTTGCTACCAGTTTCTTCTTCTGCTACCTTTGTCCCAGAATGATGCCCGCCAAATGTCAGTCTGATCAGTCCTTTGTGAGGTGACTCTGGATACACAGGGGTCAGGGAGCAGCTTGAGGAGACAGTCTGTCCTTTATAGGAGCTCAAGTGCTAAGCTGTCAGCTCTGTTGTTCATTCAGAGCTGCTAGGCTGGTACATTTAAGTCTGCTGCAGCAGAACTCATAAATCTCTTTTTTTTTTTTATCCCCAGGTGTTCTGTCCCGGGGCATTAGGGCTTTATTCGTGAGTATCCGTTGTGCTGCTGCCTTTTTTTTTGGGGGCTGCCCTGCCCAGCAAGGAGGCAGCCTAGTCACTGTCTGCCTGCAGAGGCTTTGCTGAGCTGCTATGGGCTCCACCCTGCTGCCATGTGAACTTCCCTGCAGTCCTGTTTATATGGGTGTGGTTAGAACTGCCTCAGCAATGGTGGCCCACCTCTGTAATGGCGGACTCTCTCTGCAGTGGCAGGTTGCCTCGGCAACAGCGGGCTACCTCAGCAATGGCAGACTACCTCTGTAGGGGTGGAGTGCCTCGGTAATGGCGGACACCCCTCCCCCACAGAGCTGGACCATCCTGGGTTCAGCTGTGCTTGCTGTGAAACTCTCAACCCAGGGCATTTCCGATTGCTGGTTTGTGTGTGTGTGTGTGTGTGTGTAGGGGGAGTGGGACCCCCCGAGCCTGATCACCTGGCTCCCTGCCTCAGAGCCTTTTTTTTTTTTAAGTTGAATGGTTGACTCTCTCCCAGGTGTTCCAGTCGCCTGCTGAAAAGGCGCTGGGATCTGTATGATTTCCCGTGTGGTGACCCACTGTGCCGGCTGAAAAAACAGCGTTGCCCAGGAATCTCCTGGCCTGGCTCCCTGTTTCTGTACCCTGTTTAATCAGATGAATGGGTGACTCTGCCTTCCTGGAGCTCCAATTGCCAGCTTAAAAGGGCAACCAGACCAGTGTATTTTGAATGGAGAACCACCGTGCTGGGGTGCCGGCAAAATAGCCGTACCGGCCAAAATAGCTGTGCTGGTGACCCGTGGGTCTCCTCTGCCTGGTAGTCTCCTGGTCTATGGGCAATAAAGATCTGTCTGGAAATGCGGCATCCACTCACCCTCTGTGCTTTCACTGGGAGCTGCAATCCTGAGCTGCTCCTAAACTGCCATCTTGGATTTTTCTTCCAATCTGTCTAATATTGACACTGGGGTGTTAAAGTCTTCTACCACTATTGCATGGGAGTCTAAGTCTCTTTATATGTCTCTAAGAACTTGTTTTATGAATCTGGATGTCCCTGTATTGGGTGCATGCATATATATTTGGGATAGTGAGCTCTTCTTGTTGCATTGATTCCTTTACCATTATGTAATGCCCTTCTTTGTCTCTTTTGATCATTGTTGGTTTAAAGTCTGTTTTATCAGAGACTAAGACTGCAACCCTGAGTTTTTTTGCTTTCCATTTGCTTGGTGAGTATTCCTTCATCCATTTATTTTGAGCCTATGTGTGTCTCTGCTTGTGAGATGGGTCTCCTGAATACAGCACACTGATGGGTCTTGACTCTATTCAATTTGCCAATCTGTGTGTCTTAATTGGGGGCACTTAGCCCATTTACATTTAAGGTTAACATTGTTACGTGTGAATTTGATCCTGTCATCATGATGCTAGCTGGTTATTTTGCACTTTAGTTGATGTAGTTTTTCCATAATGTCATTGGTCTTTATATTTGGTATTTTTTTTTGCAGTGGCTGGACCAGTTTTTCCTTTCCATATTTAGTGCTTTCTTCAGGAGCTCTTGTAAGGCAGGCTTGGTGATGACAAAATCCTTCTGCATCTGCTTGTCTGGATTTTATTTCTCCTTCACTCATGAAGCTTAGTTTGGCTGAATATGAAATTCTGGGTTGAAAATTCTTTTCTTTAGGAGTTAATATTGGTCTCCACTCTCTTCTGGCTTGTAGGGTTTTTGCAGAGAGATCCACTGTTAGTCTGATGGGCTTCCCTTTGTAGGTAACCTGACCTTTTTCTCCAGCTGCCCTTAACATTTTTTCCTTCATTTCAACCTTGGGGAATCTGATGATTATATGTCTTGGGGTTGCTCTTCTTGAGGAGTATCTTTGTGGTGTTCTCTGTATTTTCTGAATTTGAATGTTGGCCTGTCTTGCTAGGTTGGGGAAGTTCTCCTGGGTAATATCCAGAAGTGTGTTTTCCAACTTGGTTCCATTCTCCCCATCACTTTCAGGTATACCAGTCAATCATAGGTTTGGTCTTTTCATATAGTTCCATATTTCTTAGAGGCTTTGTTCATTCCTTTTCATTCTTTTTTCTCTAATCTTGTCTTCACACCTTATTGCAGTAAGTTGATCTTTAATCTCTGATACCCTTTCTTCTGCTTGATTCATTCAGCTATTGATAACTTGTGTATGCTTCACGAAGTTTTTGTACTGTGTTTTTCAGCTCCATCAGGTCATTTATGTTCCTCTCTAAACTGGTTATTCCAGTTAGCAGTTCCTGTAACCTTTCATCAGGGTTCTTTGCTTCCTTGCATTGGGTTAGAACATGATCCTTTAGCTTGGAGGAGTTTGTTATTACCTACCTTCTGAAGCCTACTTCTGTCAATTTGTCAATTTCATTCTCCATCCAGTTTTGTTCCCTTGCTGGAGAGGAGTTGTGATCATTTGGAGGAGAAGAGGCATTCCAGTTTTTGGAATTTTCAGTGTTTTTGTGCTGGTTTTTTCTCATCTTTGTGGATTTATCTACCTTTGATCTTTGAGGCTGATGACCTTTGGATGGGGTTTTTGTGTTTGGGTCCTTTACGTTGATGTTGTTGTTTTCCATTTGTTAGTTTTTCTTCTAATAGTCAGGCCCTTCTTCTGCAGGTCTGCTGAAGTTTGCTGGAGATCCTCTCCAGATCTTGTTTGCCTGGGTATCACCAGTAGAGGCTGCAGAACAGCAAAGATTTCTGTCTGCTCATTCCTCTGGAAGTTTTATCCCAGACGGGCACCGGCCTGAAGCCAGCTGGAGTTGTCTTGTATGAGGTATCTGCCGACCCCTGTTGGGAGATTTCTCCCAGTCAGGAGGCACGGGGTGAGGGACCCACTTTAGGAGGCAGTCTCTCCCTTAGCAGAGGTCCTGCGCTGTGCTGGGAGAATCTCTCTTGTCAGATCAGCTGCTTTCTTCAGAGCCAGAAGGCAGGAATGATTAAATCCACTGAAGCTGCACCCACAGCTGTCCCTTCCCTCAGGTGCTCTCTCCCAGGAATATGGTGGTTTTGTCTGTAAGCCCCTGACTGGAGCTGTTACCTTTCCTTCAGAGATGCCCTGCCCAGTGAGGAGGAATCTAGAGAAGCAGTCTGGCCACAGCCACTTTGTCAAGCCCAGCCCAGACCTCTCAGCCTTCTTAGCACTGTCCGGGGAAAATTGCCTACTAAAACTTCAGTAATGGCAGATGATCCTCCCCCTACCAAGCTCAAGGTTGACTTCAGACTGGTGTGGTGCCAGAGAGAATTTCAAGCCAGTGGTTCTTAGCTTGCTGGGCTCTCTGGGAGTGGGACCCACTCAGTGAGACCACTTGGCTCCCTGGCTTCAGCCCCCTTTCCAGGGGAGTGAATGGTTCTGTCTCACTGGGGTTCCAGGTGCTACTGGGGTACAAAAAATACTCCTGCAGCTAGCTCAGTGTCTGCCCAAACAGCTGCCCAGTTTTGTGCTTGAAACCAAGAGCCCTGGTGGTATAGGCACATGGGGGAATCTCCTGATCTGCAGACTGCAAAAACCATTGGAAAAGTGTAGTAACCTGGCTGGGTAGCATAGTCCCTTGTGGATTCCCTTGGCTGGGGGAAGGAGGTCCCCGACTCCTCGCACTTCCCAGGGGAAGCAATGCCACACCCTGCTTCTGCTCACTGTCCATGGGTTGGACCCACTGCCTAACAAGTCTCAATGAGATGAACTGTGTACCTCAGTTGGAAATGCAGAAATCACCCGCTTTATGCATTGGTCTCGCTGGGAGCTGCAGACAGAGCTCTTCCTATTGGACCATCTTGGTCCCCTCCTCCTTGAAACTTTTTAATAACATGTTTCTAGGTACTAGCTCTGGAAATCCAAGAGAAATATGGCAGAAAAAGGGCCTAGTGATATGGATGCTAAAACAGTGTTTTTGTTTTTCTGGTGATTCTGATGCACAACTTTATTTTGAAACCACTGTTTTTGGGTCTACTGTAGTTAAACCATTTTAGTGATTGCAGTGTGCCTAAAAGCATATAAGGATAAACACTGAATTAATAAACAGTTGGAACAGCAGGATTAGTAATCTGAAAATTGTGAAATAGGAAGGGTTTTTGAAAACAACAGTAAAGCTTGAGGACCTCAGTTTTACCGGCCTTTTTACCTTACTTTTCACTCACCTTTAAGACCCCTCAATTCTTTCATCAGTCTGTTCACATATACCCTTCCTTTGGCTGTAAGACAGAGAAAAATTCAAGTCTCAGGAAGCAATGCGGATATTTAAAAAATAGTACAAAACATGAATAATTTCAGAACGTATGCTTTAAAATGTTTTATCCTAGAAATTTATACTTTTTCATTTTCAGGAATAAAACTCAGGAATGGAAACAGTTCTCAATTTGATGAAATCATTTTGTTGGTACATGAAACATTCCTTACATAGGGAGTATTAGTCACAAAAGTTCATATGCTCAACCTTCTTCAAAGAATCCTGTTACTTTGTTGTTGTTGTTGTTGTTGTTGTTGTTGTTGTTGTTGAGACAGGGTCTTGCTCTGTCACCCAGGCTGGAGTGCAGTGGCAGGATCTCACTTCACTATAGACTCTGCCTCCTGGCCTCAAGTGATTCTCCCACATCAGCCTTCTAAGTAGCTTGGACTACAGGTATGAGCAGCCATGCCTGGCTACTTTTTAAACTTTTTTTGTAAAGATGGGGTCTTGCTATGTTGCCCAGGTTGGTCTCAAAGTCTTAAACTCAAGTGATTATTCCACCTAAGCCTTCCAAAGTGCTGGGATTATAGGCATGAGCCACTGCACCTGGCTTTACTTTAATTTTTTAAATTTAAATTTAAACTTTTTAAGACAGGGTCTTGACTTGTCATCCAGGCTGGAATGCAGTGGACAAATCACTGTTCAAAGCAGCCTTCACATCCTGGGCCCCAGCAATCCTCCCTCCTCAGCCTCCTGAGTAGCTGGGACCACAAGCATGTGCCACTATGCCTGGTTATGTGATATTTTTAATGCTTACCATCAATTGGAAGATTATTCAGCAGTTGCATGCCTTTATCTTCTGCAAGCTCTATCCCTATATTTTCCAGAAAATTTTTCAGGTTCCCAGTATCAATCTTCTCACCTTTAAAAAGTAAAAAGTGAAAATGGTTTAAAGTTTGAAGAATGATGATTCTATATTAAGAAAAATGTTCATGTGGCATAATTTGCTGATTAAACATTAATGAAATAAATCTGGCAAGAATGCCAGCTATTGCTCAGACATAATCCTAAAGCTTTTTGCTAAAACAATGATGGTCAAAATTAGGCTGCGAGTCATTAGATGCAAACATTCACCAGTAAATAGGTAGAGTGAGAGAATGCATCAAAAAGGGAAATAACTGCATTTAAAATAGAATTTTGTGTGAACATTGGAATCTTGGTTTTGTAAAATTTTCTTAATTGCATGTTTTGGTACCATAGAGGGCCTTTCTCTAGGGGCTTTGTTCTTAACCTAGCCTGGTTCTCTGTCATGCCTCAGTGATTTGGTGGGTCTATGTTCCTCTTCTTCGTAGCTACAACATGCAGTGCATTTCTTGTGCTTCCTTCCTTAAAGGTGGCTAGAAAGTCAGATGCAACCTCCCGAGCTCGCCTCTTGTTGTGTGTCTCAGGCATATTAGCATGTATAGATTTTTTATTCTTAGAACTTTAATGTAAAGTGCTAGAGGGAAACCAGCAGGTGATCACCAAACTATCACAAGCATGAATGACACAAAGCTAACAAGTTTATTTGGTAATGAACTTAGTTTTAGTTCCTCATTATGAGAGTGGAAATCAGTTATCCTTGCCCCCTGCAACCATCTCCCAATCTGCTTTTAGGATGACTGTGTACAATTTTCCTTTACCATGGCTCTTTTCTCTGGCTTGAAGATGCAGTTTCTTTCTTTCTTTATTATCTGAACATAACTTCAAGATTTTATTGTTTTCTTAATAAAACAAAAGATGAAGCTCAGAACTGAAAGATCCTTTCTTGTTCTAGCTCCTTCCAGTTCTCTTAACAGCCAGCATTCTCTGAGTTCTGCAGTTGGACTCAACACACACTTGCCTCAGCACAATCTTCTTTGTAGTTTTAGCCTCTTCTGGAAAATCGGCTTAGTCTGCCCATCATAGCCACTCTGCTCCCTGTCATAACACTGCTTTACCTGGGCATAGAGAGAATCCCTGTCCTCTTGCACTGTGTCACTTTGTGGGGTTGGTGCTTGCCATACTGACTACGGAAAGTTCAAAGTTGCAAAGTCCAGAAACATTGGAAACAAATGTGTCCAATGACGCATTTCATCAAAATGATTTCATCAAATTGAGAACTGTTTCCATTGCTGAGTTTTATTCTTGAAAATGAAGAAGTATAAATTTCTAGGACAAAACATTTTAAACTGTACATTCGGAAATTATGTACAGAAAGTCCAGTAGCTCTATTGGTTGGGAACAAAAGCTAAAGATGCAGTTAAGGCAGACAAATCAGATGTACTAATCCTTTCCAATTCCAGCAAAAGAAAATTCTTGCTTTTAGTCCTCTGGAACCACAATGCAGTGTTTCCATCAAGAGGGGAATGTCTGGGAGTTAGCCAGTCATATGCACAGATGCCTGGAAGGAAATGCGCACAAGGGTTGTTTTCCCCAAGATGCCTCAGAACTCTCTCGTGAAGCCTTGGACCACTGGGGCTTCTAATATTCCCCTGTCAGCAGCCAAACTCAAGAGCAGCCTCCCTCTGCTAACTTGATTAAGCGTTTGACAAGATACGGAGCTTTTGCCTCAAGGGAATTGTTCTAACTATACCTTTTATCCATAATGCTTTCATTTTCCAGAATGAAAGCCCCTCCAAATTTTCTGGCCTCTCTAGTCTATTCTGTTTTATTACATTGATATTTTCTTTCTATTGCTAGCTTCTTTTTAATCCTTCTCAGAGTGCACTCTGAAATTCATTAAATGTAAATTTTTCTATATCTTCAGTCTCTTTATAGACTTTTCTTTTAACCTTCTTTCTTAACTGAACTTTGCCTCTTCCTAATAGAATTTTCTATGACTTACTTTTATTTTTGAGCTAAGACTGCTCATTTTTCTATGTCCTAATTGTCTCAGGGCTTGGCATTCTTCTAGATTACAACTGCTGCTTTCCAACCAAACCTAAACTTCTCTTTTGAGATTTATGAAATTTGGCTTTCTTTGTATTGCCACCCACTAGCTTCTTGGTCACTTCAGAAGCTTGTCCCATACCCATAGTCTTTTGCTTCCTCCAAAACTCCTGGCATCACTATAAGGAATTCCAGCCTTTATTCAGATAACTCATTCAAAGACTGGTCTCCAAGTTTCTTGACCTTCTAATCCTCAATGACTATCTATTAAATTCTACGCTAGTTAACTCTCCAGGACACATTCTGGACTTTGTCATCACCTAGAAATGCTTTACCTCTAAAATCTTAAATTCCAACATGCTGACTTCTGGCCAATACCTTGTGTTTCTTCCATTTATTTTACTTCCTTATTCATCCATACCTGTTATATCTTTAGAGAGAATTTTCATTCTCCTCTCTCACTTTTCTCTAAGTTCACAACTTTATTTCTTTCTGTGTCCACACTAGACCACATAATCATTTTCCTGGTCTACATGATTAAGTATGCTTTCATTTTTTTGGCACATGAAACTTAGAATCTCCTAATTTGGGCCAGCTGAAGAATACCATATAATAATATGAAAGGTTGCCATTATGTTTTAATTATATCTAACTATGGTTATCTCTTGGCACTTCTCCTCAATGCCTTCATGTATTCCTTATTAACTTTAGTTCATATTTTCTATCAAAGTTATACAAAATCAAATTAGTATAGCTTTTATGGAAAATGGTATGGAGATTTCTCAGGGAACTAAAACATGGAGTTTTGATCTAGCAGTTCCACTACTGGGTATATACCAAACAGAAAATAAATCATTATATTAAAAAGATATATGCACTCTTGTGTTTATTGCAGCACTATAGCAGAGATGTGGAATCAATCAAAGTGTCCAACAGTGGAGGACTGGATAGAGAGGATGGAGTATGTATATACCAAGGAATACCACTCAGACACTAAAAAAATGAAATGATGCCTTTTGCAGCAACATGGATGGAACTGGAGGCCATTATCCTCAGCAAAATAACGTAGAAACAGAGGGTTAAAGTACCGCATGCTCTCACTTCTAACTGGGAGCTAAACAATGGGTATACATGGACTTACAGAGTGGAATAATGGAAATTGAAGACTACCAAACGTAGGAGGGTGCGGGGGTGAGGGTTGAAAAATTACCTATAGGGTACAGTATTCACTGCTTGAGTGGTGGGTACACTAAAAGCCCAGAATTCACAATGATGCAATATATACATGAAATAAATCTGCACTTGTATCCCCCTACATATGTAAAACTAAAAACAAAAACAAGAAACAAATTTATGTAAAATCATCGATAATCTTCTTGAAATTCCCTACCCCACCACTGTGTCCTTCCTGTTAGTAGATAATCCTGTTTTCTACTTTACAAAGAAAATTGAAGCTTTTAGGTAAACTCCTTTGAATTTTACTCCTACATTTACCTAGATTCTCTATATCTGTGTCCTTTCTGATTTGAAGTCTGCTTGTCTTGGAAAAAGAGGTGGCTTCAGATTCTTACTCATCTATTCAGTTGTAAGATGATGTCTTTAGATGTCTCACAGAAACCCCAAATTCAATATGACCCAAAAGGGAAACTCTATCTTTACTTCTAAATCTTTTACTGAATTCCTTATTTTGGTGACTCATTATCACTCACCCAACTATCCAACTCAGAAACGAAGGAGTCACCCTTTACTCTTTCCTTTCTTCCCATCTCCATACCTGATCAGGAATCAAACCCTGTAATATGGTATCTGTAATATCTCTTATATATATCCCTTCCTCTCAAGTCTCATTGATAATCATTACGTCGGTCTTTTGCCGGGACATTGACAATTTGCTTCCTAACTGCTCTCCCTGACTCCTCTTGCACACACACCTTTGTCCATTCATCCACTCTCTATATTGCTGCTAAAGCAATCTCTCTCTTTCTCTCTCCTTCTCTCCTTCTCTCCTTTCTCCTTCCCTCCCTCCCTCCCTCCTTCCTCCTTCCCTCCCTCCCTCCCTCCCTCCTTCCTTCCTTCCCTCCCTCCCTTCCTTCCTTCCTTCCTCCCTCCCTCCCTCCCTCCCTTCCTCCCTCCCTCCCTCCCTTTCTCTCTCTCTCTCTCTCTCAATTTCTTGGCATTGCTCCATCACCCCAGCTGGATTGCAGTGGTACAACTGCCTCAACATCCTGGGCTCAAGCGATCCTCCCACTTCAGTCCCCCAAGTAGCTGGGACTACAGGTATATGCCACCACACTTGGTTAATTTTTGTATTTTTTGTAGAGATGAGGTTTCACCACATTGTCCAGGTTGGTGTCAAACTCCTGAGCTCAGGCAATCTACCCACCTTGGCCTCCCAAAGTGCTGGGATTACAAGTGTGAGCCATTGCACCTGGTCAGTCTTTCAATTTGCACATATAATCACATAGTCTCTAGCTTAAAATTTTGGAATGACTCCCTACTCCACAGAATAAAATTCACAGAATTTTATTTTTATCCTTTATTTTGTAGTCAAGACCCTCTATGATTTGTCCCCTGTGTTTGTTTCCTGTTGTTGCTGTAACAATTTTCCAAAAACTTGTTGGTTTAAAACAATACATTCTTTTTTCTCTTAATGGTTCTGGGGAATGAGTCTGAAATCAGTTTTATTGGGCTAAAGTCAAGGTGTCAGCAGGGCTGGTTTCTTCAGGAGGCTCTGCTGGAGAATCTGTTCCCTTGCCTTCCACTTCTAGAGGCCCCTTAGGTTCCTCGGCTCATGTTCCTTCTTCCATCCTCAAAGCCCTCATTGTAGCATCTTGCTTCCTTTGTCACACTGCCTTCTACTTTGTCTGTCATCAAGTCTCCCTCTTCTAAGGATAGTTGTAATTATATTTAGGGTCTACTTAGATAAGGATAATCTCCCCATCTCAGGATTCCTAATCATATCTCCAAAGTCACTTTTCCCATATAAGGGAACATTCACAGGTTTTGAGGATTAGGACCTGGATATTTTTAGGAGCCTACCACATCCCCTTCCTTGCTCTTTATTTCTTGCCAAACTCCTGACAGCATTTTATGATCCAGCTATGCCAAATTATTTCTAGTTCCTTAAAGCTCCATACTGTTTCTCATCTTGGTGGCTTTTATGCTTTTTTTTGCCTCTATGAGAAACACTGTCTCCCTGACAAACACTGTCTCATTTTTTAAGGATCCGCTCATATGTTGTCCACTCTACAAAACTATTTCTCAATCTCTTTTCCTCAGGTGCAAATGGCATCTTGCCCCTTCTTTACCTTGCATATGGTCTTCACAATTTATAACATTGTATTGCATATACTTGTATTTTACCTGCCTCAACCACACAAGCTCCTGGAAGGTTGGTTTTTATAGATCCATATATGGGATATAATAGATACTCAATAATGAGTTAATAAAAATCTAACCTACCTGTAAAAAGATGTCCTTCATCCATCACCACATTCACATTAACTCTCCCCTCATCTGTAAGACAAGACAGAATCCTATGCATGAAGACAATAATAGAACAGAAGAAAGATGTAAGTCATACATTGGCTGGGTGCACTTGTAATCCCAGCACTATGGGAGGCCAAGGTGGATGGATTATTTGAGGTCAGGAGTTTGAGACCAGCCTGGCCAACATGGTGAAACCCCATCTCTACTAAAAATTCAATTTTTAAAATATTTGTATAAAATATAAAGGAGGCTGAGCAGGAGAATCGCTTGAACACAGGAGGTGAAGGCTATAGTGAGCCGAGATCATGCCACTGCACTCCAGCCTGGAAGGCAGAGTGAGACTCTGCCTCAAAAAAAAAAAAAAAAAAAAAAAAAAAAGTCATACATTGAAGTTAAACACAAAATTCAGCAAATTTGTATGAGTTATTCTAGAATTTCATCCTTTTGTTCTGATATTTATTTATTTTATGTCAGGATGTCATTCTGTTGCCTAGACTGGAGTGCAGTGGAACAATTTCTGCTTACTGCAACCTCTGCCTCCTGGGTTCAAGTGATTCTCCTGCCTCGGCCTCTCAAGTAGCTGGGATTACAGGTGCAAGACACCATGTCTGGCTAATTTTTGTATGTTTGGTAGAGATGAGGTTTCACCATATTGGCCAGGCTGGTCTCCAATTCCTGACCCTAAGTAATCCACCTGCCTCGGCCTCCCAAAGTGCTGGGATTACAGGTGTGAGCCACCATGCCTGGCCTAGAATTTTATTCTTTAAAACTCCAAATGGAAAATGTGTAAAGAAAAAGCTCTCATTATAAAAAGGATATTTACTTTACACTTCTAATATCACTTTTTATTTTATTAAGATAGTTAACCTCATGTGGTAGAATGCTGGGCTGACACTCTGAAGTAGTAGTCCTCTCTACTTTGATAGCTGTTTTATTGATTACAATGCTGTCAAGCAACTTAAAGAGGGAAAATGCTCCAGCAGGGAAGATTTGACTTGGAGCATTAACAATCCATATATCTGCAAAAAACCCCTCCCCCAAACCCAGAACCAATGCCTATTTCTACACTCAATCCATACTTAGCTTAGTCTGTCTGTCCTCTTCTACTTCCCACTTCAATATCAAGAAAAGGGCTGGGTGTGGTAGCTCATACCTGTAACCTCAGCACTTTGGGAGGCTGAGGCAGGCGGATCACAAAATCAAGATATTGAGATCATCCTGCCTAACATGGTGAAAACCCATCTCTACTAAAAATACAAAAATTAGCTGGGTGTGGTGGCGTGCACCTGCAGTCCCAGCTACTTGGGAGGCTGAGGCAGGAGAATCACTTCAGCCTAGGAGGCAGAGGTTGCAGTGAGCCGAGATTGCGCCACGGCACTCCAGCCTGGGTAACAGAGTGAGATTACAACTGGAAAAAAAAAAAAGAAAAGAAAAGAGATTTTGATCAATCTAACTGAACTTTAACAATATTTTCAAAATTTTGTTTTTAAACTTTATTTTGTATTTTTCTTTTTAAAACTTGTATAAATTTAAAGGGTAGAATGTTGTTATAGGGATATACCGCCTTTTAAAGTGAGCCTTTAAAGAGCCTTATAGGCCAGGTGCAGTGGCTCATGCCTGGAATCCCAGCATTTTGGGAAGCCAAGGCGGGCAGATCACCTGAGGTCAGGAGTTTGAGACCAGCCTGGTAAACATGATGAAAACCCTGTCTTTACTAAAAATACAAAAATTAGCCAGATGTGGTGGTGGGCGCCAGTAGTCCCAGCTATTTGGGTGTCTGAGGCAGGAGAACTGCTTGAACCTGGGAAGGGGAGGTTGCAGTGAGCCAAGATTGCACTCCAGCCTAGGTGACAGGGCCAGACTCCTTCTCAAAAAAAGAGGCTTATAGATGGTCAGTTCCTTGGAGGAAGATGTCTTATCCATTCTCATGTATTTTATTTTTTTTTGAGACGGAATCTGGCTCTGTTGCCCAGGCTGGAGTGCAGTGGCAGAATCTTGGCTTATTACAACCTCTGCCTCTCAGGTTCAAGTGATTCTCCTGCCTCAACCTCCTGAGTAGCTGGGTCTACAGGCACACACCACCATGCCTGGCTAATTTTCCATTCTCATGTATTTTAATTATTTCCATAGAAGACTTATAAATAGCTTAAATGATATTTATATGAATATTTCTAATGCTATTTCCTAAGAGCTCATTGAGTTGAAATGTAGTACTCAAGGAGAGGGTTGATTCTTCTACAACCAAAATCACTGTGGCATTCCAGCAAAGTTACAAGATACCTGGATAATGAATAAGAAAAAGTAATCCTTTTATAGGTAGATAAAAAATACTGAGAAATGATATATTTTTGATAATAAAAAAATCCAATGGAAAATTTACTTCCTTTTGACAAGAACAGAGGTGTAACTAGGTGGCATTGTGTTGAGATGAATGTATATTGATTATTATTCCTACTAATAAAGCTACATAATTCACAACTATATCAAAGGTAGCTATTATTTTCTTTTTGACAGAAGGGAGCTAAGATTCAGAGTGGTTAATTTGACCAATCTTGCATAGCCAGGAATTTTCAGAGCTGAGATTCAAATCCCTGTCTGGCTAATTCCAATTCCAACTTCATTCCATAATGTCATATAATCAGTGGAACCAGTGGGATGAACCCCAGGTTTTTGCTATTTTTCCCCCAGAGGGTTATTATTTTGGAAATTTTTCTTTTTGGATACTTGTAGTTATTATTATGAGTCCATGTAGATGTTATTGATGTAAAGGGGAATTATTACTATTGCCCTCCTTAAACTTGTCATTTTTGCTAGGTTGGAATTCACTCTAGATAAATTCTTCTTTTCTATCTCTTACTACTATTTTCCTCCTTATTTTATTTGTTTATTTTCAAACTTCCCTGACACATTTTCTCCATTTATTTACTTTTTGGCTTTTCCTTTTGGTCTACTAATAATCTCATCATTGCTCCGAAACATTGCTAAAGCTTTGCTAAATTTGTGGTCTGCTAACTTCCTAGTTAAAGATAAATAAGATGAATTATTAGAGTATTCGTTTCCAGCCATCTTTTCATTCATATGGCTAAGTCAATGTCTTACAAGTATCTCAAACTCTACTTTTCTAAAACTGAAAATACTCTCCTGACACTGTAAACTGAACCTCTTCCTGAATTGGCTTATAATATGACTGATGACTTACTCATTAAGATATCCCTTCCTAAAATTCTTCAACTTTTCATACCTCACATGGAATCACTCACCATGCCCTGTTTGTTTTAAATTTTTATTAGTTTTAATAAATAAATTTAAATTCTAAAATCTTTCCCAAGTCACTCGGTTATCCATCATTAAGTTCACTTCCCTTGCCTAGGCTCTCACTGTCTCTTGTTGGATCATGGAAGTATCTCTCAAGTTCCAGTTTTTGCTTCCAATAATGCTTTCTACATTGCCAATCAGCACTGATTTTGCAAGAGAGAAATACTCTAGACATACCACTACTTACAGTACGAAGGCTAAAATTGAAGGGAGAAATAGACAATTCAAGTATAATAGTTGGACATTTCAGTACCCTACTAAACAGAAAAGTAAATAGGATAAAGAAGACTTGAACAATATTATCAACCATGGAACATTCACCAGGTTAGACCATATGCTAGGCCATAAAACAAGTCTCATTCCATTTAAAAGAACTGAAATTATGAAAGTATGTTTTCTGACCACAAAGGAATTAATTCTAAATCAACAACAGAAGGAAATTTGGGAAATCCATAAACATTTAGAAATTGAACAACACATTTCTAATTAACCCATGGATCAAGAAGAAATTATCCGGGAAATTAGAAAGTATTTTAAACTGAATGAAAATGCAAATGTAAATATGAAATATTTCAAAATGCAACTAAATCAGTGCTTAGAGGAAGATTTATACCTGCAAACACCTGTATTAGAAATAAAGAAAGGGCTGGGCATGGTAGCTCACACCTGTAATCCCAGCACTTTGAAAGGCTGAGGTGGGTGGCTCATCTGAGGTCAGGAGTTCGAGACACGTCTGGCCAATATGGTGAAACCCCTTCTCTACTAAAAATGTAAAAATTAGCCAGGCACGGTGGCAGGCACCTATAGTGCCAGCTACTCAGGAGGCTGAGGCACAAGAATCACTTGAACCCAGCAGGTGGCGGGTGCAGTGAGCTGAGATAGCTCCATTGCACTTCAGCCTGGGCAACAAGAGCAAAACTCTGCCAAAAAAAAGGGAAAGATTTTAAATTAAGAATCTAAGTTTTCACTGTAAGAAGATCAAAGTAAACTCAAGGTAAGCTGAACAGAGAAAAGAACAAAGATTAGAGCTGAAATCAATAAAATGAAAAACAGAAAATCGATAGGGAAAATTGATGTTGGCTTTTTGAAAAGGTCAACAAAATTGACAAATCTTTAGCTAGTTTGACTAAATAAAAAAGATATAGATCAAAATCAGGAAAGAGGACATCATTACTGACTTCATAGAAATTAAAAAGGAATATAAAGAAATACTGGGAACAACTTCATGCCAACAAATCAGACAGCTTAGATGAAATGGACAAATTTCTAGAAAGGTACACACTACTGAAAGGCTCAAAAGGATGATACAAGCTAAACTACCCAGCTTTCCAGTCCTGGCAATCTGCCTTTCCAGCCATTTTTTTCCTGCCATTTTGTAACATGAAGAGTACATTCTAACCACAAGGAAATTTTTGCTGCTCTCCTAAAATTCTGTGACTTTGCATGCATTTATGCTTTTGTTCATTTTCCTATCTGGAATGCCTTCATCTGGGAGAATTTCCTCATATCTTCTGACAGGCCTTTCTCTGATTCCCCTCCTGGGAAACTTAGCTCTTCCCTCCTTTAGAATCTCACTGAATATATTTTTATATATTCACAACCACATAGCACTATGATGACTTGTCTGCATATAAGATGTATCACTAGACTATGAAATCCTAGAGGTCAGAGATCCTGTCATCTTCATTTTTGTATTCCTAATAGTTCATATGTATTAGATGCTCAATAAAGTCTACTGCATGAATTGATTAATTCTTGAGGACTAGACTCTTACCTTTTTGCATATCTATTTATTTATGCATTTATTTATTTATTTTGGAGACAGGTCTCACTCTGTTGCTCAGTCCGGAGTGCTGTTCTTTTAATTTTTTTAATACTTCTGCACAACTCTAAATATACTCTCAGAAGTTCTCAAATATGAATCCAAAATTTTGCTTAAAGAGCAGCTCACCATCAATGGGCAGGTTGTTTTTCAGATCTTGGTATTCCTCTTCCTCAAGTTTAAAGCCCATTTGTTCCATGAAGGGTTTTAGCTTATCAACACTAAGCCTCACTCCTTAGAAAAAAGAGGACAGGATTGCTTATAGACATTATTAGAGATAATGAAAAGAGAAAAAGGAAAAAAGAAAAAAAAGAGGGCAGGAATGAGAAATGCAAACAATAACAATAAAGTGAAAACTACTAGGCATTTCCATGACTAGCATTTAGAGGGTAAACAAACAAAGAAATAATAAAGTTGTTTGTATGAAAAGAATTGTCGGGGCTGGGCACGGTGGCTCACGCCTATAATCCCAGCACTTTGGGAGGCCGAGGTGGGTGGATCACGAGGTCAAGAGATCGAGACCATCCTGGTCAACATGGTGAAACCCCGTCTCTACTAAAAATACAAAAAATTAGCTGGGCATGGTGGCGCGTGCCTGTAATCCCAGCTACTCAGGAGGCCGAGGCAGGAGAATTGCCTGAACCCAGGAGGCGGAGGTTGCAGTGAGCCGAGATTGCGCCATTGAGCTCCAGCCTGGGTAACAAGAGTGAAACTCCGTCTCAAAAAAAAAAAAGAAAAAAAGAAAAAAGAGAAGAAAAGAATTGTCATGTGAATCGGGAGCAGAACCTGCTCTCCTGTTTTTGTCTAGAAGATCTGACTATAGCTTTCATAGGACATTTATAAGGAAAAAACTGAAAAGTGGGCAAGTCTGATGAAATTTGGCAATAAACTGCCTTTATAATTCTAATTGTAAAATACATTTTAAATGCAGTGATAGAATAAAAAATCATTTCCCTAAAGGCACTATGTTCAAAGTGGTAAACGATGAGACAAAAACACTTAATAAACAGGTTAATTGCCAAACTTGTAATCACCACAAATATATATTTTGGTCGTTTTAAAAAAGTTAATTCAATTGGTTTTACCTGGTTTCTCACTTACCTGGGAGAGATCTTAAACCATCCAGCAACTTATGCTTATACAACTTTCCAGCAGCTGTAAGATATTAAAGCACAGTATAGCAGCTGATAGGGAGGCCTGATAAAATATTTTAAAACCCAGCAATTTCAGAAGAATAACTCCTATAATTTTACTCAAATCTTTTCATGTTTTTGTTTATACCCTAAATAAGAATTAGACCAACAGGAAAAAGCTCTTAAGATATTAAATCTACCTACTTTTTTCTTTTTTGACAGTCAAAACAGTTAGTGGTACCTTGCCATGCCTTTCATATATCTCTCTTTTCTTCTGATTTTTCCTTTTCTACTCCTCTGCTTAAGATCATACATATTAGTGTTCCCAAGGATAATGTGACATTTAGCTCAGCCGATTCCTGAGCAAAAAAACCTGATGACTATGACACAACTTCTTTGAATGTTAGCATTAGCATTTCTATACATTTTTCACACGACATCGAATAGATATTGCATTGTATTTTCATTGACAGGCCCATGAAAATAAATTCTTCTTTAAGGTAATCAGTGAGATATTGTCTGTTGCCATGACACGTTTCATATTTACAGAAATTCATCTATTCCCACATAGGTGGTGAAGTAGCATGGATTTCTGTTTCCTTTCCACAGATCGACCCCAGAGTAACTAAAATTTGAGCAGAAATTTGGATTTTAAAAACCAAGAGAAAAGCCACAATAAACTTCTTGGGAAATGAAAAGCTGTACGTGTGTGTGTGTGTGTGTGTGTGTATTTACAGCCTAGAGTAGAGGGCTAGCAGTGGCAGTTAAAGCAATGATGAATCTAAGATTATCATTGCCTACTCCTTCACTATAGAAAGCAGCAGCAAAAGGCTAGACCAATGGTCAGGTGTCTGGAAGGTAACATCAGGGCAGCAGGTAAACTCTTCAGGAGGGAAGGACTAATGTAAACAAGAGAAGACTGATAAGCTGCCCTCTGGCATTTTATCCTCCTTTAACTTTTATGGTTGGAAGATTGCATTCTTTCAGCTCTACGTTTCTCTGTGGTGAAAGGTGAAATTTACATATGGATTTTACCTAAATTATGGATTAAATCCAGTGAAATTAATATAGTATTTCATCACATATTGTGAATATCACTGTGTACTCTATACTATATCAACATGAAATTATACATGGTTCCTCAAACATGGCATGTTGGGTATGCCTCTGTGCCTTTATTATGTTTTTCTTTTTAGTTCTTGCCATTCCCTACTGTTAAACTCTTCAGGCTCATTTGAAATAATATCCATTCTGTGAAGCCTTAGAGTCTCCAGTCATAGCTGGTCAATCTTTCTCTTTTACTTTCATAGCAGTATGTGTTTATTAATATTATAGCACTTATGACGCAAAGCATTTTTTTAGTATGTGCTGTCCATCTATACATTGAATTCTTTTAGGACCTGGACATTGTCTTTTTTATTCTTTATGACTCAGAGCCAAATATAATGTCTAGTACCTAAGGCAACATATTAACTTTTAGTGAATGGATAAATAAATACCTCATTGTAAATTAAATGCTTACCATCAAGTGACAAACTTTTCATAAACACCGAGTTTTCCTTCAGTTGGAGGCTTAACCCCATGTTTCTCAGAATATCTTCCCAGTCTTCATAGTTAATTTCTTCCCCTTAAAAAAGAAAATAATGGCAAAGGATCACATTTCAATAGTAATTATAAAGTCAACTATGTCTGTGTAGCATCATCCTCAAATATGGGATAAAAAGCAACAGAATCATCAGTGTTGTCTGATTACCCAGAATGAGAAAGGAGATTCCAAAAATGAAACTTCTTTCTGGTAGAGGAAAGCTCTTTAATGTTGGGAACAAGAAACAAACACAGCACACAGAAAGTTACTGTTTTTGAAATAGTTCACTAAATGAATAATTCTGCCAGCATGTAATATTTGCATGAACTTATTCTTAGTAGCCATATTACCTGTATGTGTAATTTGTATTGCTATTTTGCCATCAAAACAGTAAAGAATGAAATTATATTATTGAAAAACTCCAAAGAATATAGAACATGCTTTGTAGGTATTACACTATGGCCTTTTAAATAAGATGTAGGTAACAACTGATTATATTATAATAATTAATAACATTTAGTTTCTAAAGGATGGCTCTTTAGTTGTATATACATTGCCATTAAAAACAGATACAATGTCAGGATTAATATGTTATGGACAAGATAACATAAAATACTTTCAAAATAATTTCTTTTATTAAATATTTAGATGATTTTTATTGTCTTATCATCATTTCTCATGACTCACCTAAAACTTCATCTACTGCATTCAGAAGTAAATCCAGTTTAACTCTTCTCTCAGCTATAAGACAAGACACAATTTTGAAATGGCCCTGCTATGGACTGACTGGATTATATCCCCCAAGATTCGTATAATGAAGCCCTAACCCTCAATGTGACTGTATTTGGAGATAGGGTCTTTAAAAGGTAATTAAGATTAAATAAAATTATAAGTGTGTGTCCCTGATCCAATGTGATTGTGGCCTTATAAGAAGAGGAAGAGAGAGATCTATTTCACCCTCTCTCTGTCATGTAAGGACATAGCAAGAAGGTAGTCATTTATAAGCCAGAAAGGGACCCCTCCCAGAAACCAAATTGGTCAGCTCCTTTGTCTTAGAATTCCTATCTCCAGAACTGTGGAGAAATAAATTTCTGTTGCTTAAGCCACCCAGTCTATAGTATTTTGCTATGGAAGCCCAAGCATACTAATATTGGTCCCAATTACATAAAATTCTTAAACTGTGAGGTAAAGTGTTAAGGATTTGGCAGTTGCTCAGAATTTTTTCTAATTATATATATATATTCAGAAAAAAAGTATATGTGTATATATATATACATGTGTGTGTATATATGTATAATGTAAGTGTATATATATTATGTATAAAAGAATATATATACATATACTTTTATACATCTAAAACTACATATATACACTTGTACTCTCTCTCTGCATGTGTGTGTGTGAACGTGTGTGTGTGTACATGTATACACTTCCTTTTTAGAAACAAGGTCTTGCTCTCTTGTCCAGGCTGGAGTACAGTGGTGTGATCACAGCTCACTGCAGTCTCAACCTTTAGGGTTCAAGTGATCTTCCCATCTCAGTCTCCTGAGTGACTCAGACTACAGGCATGTACCACCATGCCTGGCTAATATTATTTTTACAATTTTTTTTTTTGGTACAGATAGGGTCTCCCTATGCTGCCCAGGCTGGTCTTGAACTCCTGGGCTTGAGTGATCCTCTACCTTGGCCTCCCAAAGTGCTGAGGTTATAGGCACAAGTCACCCCATTTAGCTCTAATTAGATAGTTTATTTTTACTTATTATAAGCATAAAATTGAGAAAGGAAAAATAATCTAAATATGATAAACATATTTATTCTATTCAGTCAATTTTTCCTGTTTTTGTTATTCCCTCACTAGTGTGAAAGAGGGGAATAAAGAGAAATTATTTTTATTTTTAAATTCATCAAATATCTGATGGTCTGGGAAAAAATCTCTAAAATTCAGATGGAACCAAAAAAGAGCCAAAGCAATCCTAAGCAAAATAAAACAAAAAAATCAAGAAACAAAGAAAAACCAAAGCTGGAGGCACTGTATTATCTGACTTCAAAGTACACTACAAGGCTACAGTAACTAAAACTGCATGGTACTGGTATAAAAACCAACACATAAACCAATGGAACAGAATAGAGAACCCAGAAATAAATCCACACACCTGCAACCATTTGATCTTCAACAAAGTCGACAAAAATAAGCAATGGGGAAAAAACTCCTATTGAAAAAATGATGTTAGAATAACTGGCTATTCATACGCAGAAGAATAAAACAGGACCCTCTACCTATCACCATATACAAAAGTTAACTCAAGATGGATGAAAGCCTTAAATGTAATACCTCAAAATATACAAATCTTGCAAGAAAACCTAGGGAATAGCCTTTCTGATATTGACATTGGGAGGGAATTTGTGGCTAAATTTTTTTAAAGCAATTGCAGCAAAACCAAAAATTGACAAATGAAACCTAATTAAACTCAAGAGCACACAGAAGCATGGCAAAAGAAACTATCAAGGGAGTAAACAGATAACCTACAGAATGGAAGAAAATATTCACAAACTTTTCATCTGACAAAGGTCTAATATCTAGAATCTATTAAGGAAATTAAAGAGCAAAAAATTATTACTCCATTTAAAAATGGGCAAAGGACATGAGCAGACATTTCTCAAAAGAAGACCTACAAGCAGCCAACAGACATGAAAAAAATACTCATCATCACTAATCATCAGAGAAACGCTAATCAAAACCACAATAAGATACTATCTCACACCAATCAGAATGGCTTTTCTTGAAAAGACAAAAAATAACAGATATTGGTAAGGCTGTGGAGAAAAGGGAATACTTACACACTGCTGCTACTGCTGGTGAGAATGTAAATTAGTTCAGCCACTGCTTTCCACAGCAGTTTGGAGATTTCTCAGAGAACTGAGAACTGAGCTGCCATTTGACCCAGGAATTTCACTACTGGGTATATACCCAAGGGAAAGTAAGTCATTCTACCAAAAAGACACATGCACTTGTATGTTTATCACAGCACTATTCACAATAGCAAAGACATGAAATCAACCTAGATACCCATCAATAGTGGACTTCATAAAGAAAATATGGTATATATACACCATGGAATACTAAATACTATGCAGCCATGTAAAAGAACAAAATCACATCATTTGCAGCAAGAGGGATGCAGCTGCAAAGGATTATTCTAAGCAAACTAACACAGAAACAGAAAACCAAATACCACATGTTCTCACTTATAAGTAGAAGATAAACCTTGGGTACTCATGGTCATAAAAATGGGAACAATAGACACTGAGGAATATAAGAGTGGGGGAGGGTAGAAGTGGGGTAAGGATTGAAAAAACCCCTACCTATTGAGTACTATGATCACCATCTGATTCATTCATACTCCAAACCTTAGTATCATGCAGTATACCCATGTAACAAGCCTGCTCATGTACTCACTGATTCTAAAATGAAAGTTGGGGGAAAGAAGAGAAATCCAATATATAACATTTAGTAAGCACTGTAAAATGACAGTAAAAATATCAGTGAAAGTGAAATCAACAAGGAATATCTAGCCACATACAAATTTTATTAAAATCAATTTGAATAAGAGTTCAAACTAAGAATATTTTACACAAATCAGTGAAGTACAAAAATCAGCGAAATACTTAAGGGAAAGCCTTGTAATTGGAGTCAAAGGATTTGAATTCACTGAACTGCTGCCAATGCTAACTTAAGGTTATAGAAAAACATCAAATCTGGCCTTGTCCACTACTATTCACTAAATAGAAGGTTATTTCAAAAATATGTTCAAAACATAAAAATACTTTTAAGTATTAATAAAATAATTACATTCTAAAAAAATGTATTTGTTGGGTGCATACCCAAGCTCTGTTTCAGTGCTGGGGATACAATAGCAAACAACATGGAATCTCTGCTTCTGTGATGGCAGTCACTAACATAAAAACAACCACTGGGTTATGAACTATTTCAAACCCAACAATAGAGCACTACATTAAAACACTGAATGTTTATTTCAAATATTTTAAATGGCTCTCTAGCTCTGTTCTTTATATCTCTTTAGTTTATTGCTATACTTTTGTTTCTTTGGTTGTACTTTTGAAACTTAGCCTTCATAGAACAGAGTTAAACTCTAGTAATGTTTATTTCAAGACATTAGCTGGTCTCTCCTCTAGATAATTTAGAGTGGGGCCATATCCCCATTTTAATAGGAGCTTTAAATACTCTTGCTTGGCTCATGTGTTACACAGTTTTGTGAAAAAAGGATTAGAGGTTGGGCAAGAAATAGAAGACCCCTTTTTTGGCAAGCAGAAAGTCTTATAGTTTCAAGCATGATAGATCATGTTAGATAAGATTTGGTAAATCAGGACTTCTGGAATGCTTATCAAACTATTACACTATCTCAAGATGCTAAAGATGTTAATTAAGATGCTCAAGATGCTGACACCAAGAGTTAAACAGAGTGCTCTGACAAGATCGTGTTGCTAAAGATCATGCAAAAAGGTAACAATTCCAAATATATATATCGACGTATATTTTCTTTTATTGTAAGGGTTAGCTATTTCAACAAAATTAACTGTAGTGGGGTTGCTTATATAAAACGAAGATTCATGGGTTCCACCCTAGATCTACTTGATCATAATCTCAAGGGAGTGGGTGATTTCTATGCAATCTAAAGTTTAAGACCTATGAATTTATTAAATGTGATTGTTAGAAATGTGTTTTATATATTTTACAATAGTACATACAACTTTTAACAATTTCCACCATTTTCTTTTTTCTCTCTTCTTTATTTCTCTCTGAATTATTTCACAATTTTCTCCACCTTCGCCTTAAATATTCTTTTTCTTTTAACTTACATACTAGATCCCAACACTGACCATGATCTTATTTTGGTGCTTTTTGGTATAGAAACTCTGGTAGTAGCAATGTAAGAAATTATATATATATATAATTATATATAGATCTACATATACTCACACACGCATACACACAAATTTGTGTGTATATATATATTTACATTTATATTTGAGAGAGGGTCTCACTCTCAGAGTCATCCAGGCTGGAGTACAGTGGCACCATCACAGCTCACTGCAGCCTTGACCTCCTCAGGCTCAGGTGATCCTCCCACCTCAGCTCCCCAAGTAGCTGAAACTACAGGCATACACCAACACACCTGGCTATTTTTTTTTTTTGTATATTTTTTGGTAGAGATGGCATTTCGCCATGTTGCCCAGCTGGTCTCAAGCTCCTGGACTCAAGAAATCTGCCCACCTCTGCCTCCCAAAGGGGTGAGATAACAGATGTGAGCCATTGCACTGGGCCCAATTATTGATATTTTATCTCAGGTTAATAATAAAGGACACTGTTTCTTCACTCTTAGGACTGGGTCTCTATATGCTTCTGACTTTTTACACAAAATTAATAAGTATACTTGAGATGTTCTCATAGAAAAACAAAATTTTTGTTACAAGGCCCTGTATTTTTGAAATGCTCACCATCAACTGGCAAGTGTTCACACAGCTCCTCAATTTCTTCTTCCTCAAGTGGGATTCTCATGTTTTCAAGAGCATCATCTATTTTATCGACATTAACCTTTCCTCCTTAAGAAAGAAGGGCATAAGAATAAGAGAAATTTGTATTGATGCCAAAGAAAGAAAAACATTTGCTTATTTCAGTCAATCAACACAGACAGAAAGCACCATAAAGCTCTTGAAGTGAACAAAAGAATCAGTTGTGGAGTAGGAACAGAAAAATTTTCCCTCATCAGTGTTCCAGAAAACACTGTTACAGAAATTTCTAGGATGAATTGACCCAGAAGAAAACGAGCAAGCAAGACTCATGAATTATTGCAGAAACACCAATCCAAAGTTCTTACCACAAAATAGAATAGGTTATTACACAAAATGCGATTGTGTATAAGTAACAATGCCAGCTCATAATTTGAGCTCATATTAGCTCATACTGATATTAACATAATTAGTAATCTAATCATGGGGAAATAAGACAGGTTTTAGAAAAGTAAATGCAAAAGCATGAAGAACTCAGTTTTATCTTTCCTAGTATGACTTTTACTCACCTCTGTAAGTCTTCACTGCATCCATCAACCTATTTTTATATACCCTTTTATTATCTGCAAAATAAGGGTCAATTTAATTCACAAGGAAGTGGAAATTCAGAAAGACATCAATGCTTAATTATTAGCAAATTTTTATAAAGTTATAATAATAATCCAAACAAGGAAGTAAAGAAATTAGTAAGTTTATCAAGGTTAACTATTTTCTGGTATTTGGTGTGCTATTAGTGGAACTCAAACATGTTGAAATAGATTTTTTCTTTTCTTTTTTCCTGAGGTCTACCTTCCTTCCTTTCTATAATTCTTTTATCATATTTTCCTATCTTTAGCTTTAGTCTTGTTATAGATGCTGAGTCTCACATTTAGAATTGTTTATCCCATAGCAACACCCCAAAGACATTATCTCACAAATTAAGATATAAATGGAAAGGACAATATTTTTATATTAGAATTGGCTCTTCCTATGCTTAATTTTCTCTTAATTTTTAATAGGACTTTAAACAATTATACTTCGAGAATTGACTGCAAGGTCTGAAATACTTACCATCCAATGGCACCATGTTCAGTAGATCTTGGTTTTCTTTATTTGTAAATTCAATACCTACATTTCCTAGATAAAGTTGTGTGTCACAGGCATTAATTTTACCACCTTAGAAAAAGATGTGAAAGATGATAAGCAAATACTTTCACAAACAATGATTCTAAATTTAGAAAATTATAATAAAACTAATATCTCAACTTGCAAGAGATGTAATTGCAGAAGAATAAGAACACAATGAGGATTATCTGACTGCAGAGCATTATAAGAAGGAGGTAATAATAGAATATTTCCTTTAAGCCTGGTCAAAAGAATGCTTTCATTCATGCTTTAAAACAGTGGAAACAAGCCAGATACCTATAATAAAATAGACTTCTTTAAAAAAAAAAAATGATACTTCTAAAAAAGTAGGCAATAAAAAAACTCATCACTATTCTTAAAAACAAGCATGTTATCAATACTTTGGTGAAATAAGGCTTGCATATCATATATAATACTGAGGCATTCCATAAATAAATATATTAAAATATTTTTACATATAGTAAGTTATCTTGACTGTATATCTTTTTGTTAGCATTTCTTACTTACCAGAAAATAAACTGGCTGCCCTGATCATAGAATTCAATAAAACCTTTCCATTCTCTGAAATACAAAGCATAAATCAGGCATAAACAAATCTTTTTATTGCTACTAGGAATGAGATCTCTTTTTTCCATAAAATTTTCTAAGTTATTGCTCTCATAGAGGGCATTTTAAAATTTTTGAGTGGTTTTCCTATACTCAACTACCTTATAGAATTCGAAAGATCAGCTCAGCTGCCTTATAGAACTCGAAAGACTGGCTGGGTGCGGTGGCTCACACCTGTAATCCCAGCACCTTGGGAGGCTGAAGTGGGCAGATCATGAGGTCAGGAGTTTGAGACCAGCCTGACCAACGTGGTGAAACCTTGTCTCTACTAAAAATATAAAAATTATCTGGGCCTGGTGGTGCATGCCTTTAATCCCCTCTATTTGGGAGGCTGAGGCAGGAGAATCGCTTGGACTTGAGAGGCGGAGGTTGTGGTGAGCCAAGATCGCGTTACTGCACTCCAGCCTGGGTGACAGAGCGAGACAAACAAACAAACAAACAAAAAGAATTGGAAATACCATGTTTTAATATGCTAAATTGGATCTTAAAGTCTTCTCCTAAATTGTCCCTTTGACTTAAAAGATATCTGTCCAATGCCAGATGAATGGTTTAATGTCAGAAATGGTTGACTGTCTATTTCAACTCCACTCTGACATTCATCTTGTATTTGTTCAATAAAAACATGATCACCTGCACCTTGCCTTCTTTCTTTTTTTTTGAGATGGAGTCTCACTCTACTCCCAGGCTGGAGTGCAGTGGCACAATCTGTGCTCACTGTGACCTCTGCCTTCCGGATTCAAGTGGTTCTCCTGCCTCGGCCTCCAGAGTAGCTGGGATTACAGGTGTGTACCACAATGTCTGGCTAATTTTTGTATTTTTAGTAGAGACGGGGTTTCACCATGTTGGCTAGGCTGGTCTCGAACTTGAGACCTCAGGTGATCTGCCTGCTTTGGTCTCCCAAAGTGCTGGGATTACAGGCATGAGCCACTGCACCCAGCCTTGGCCTTCTTACGTTCTAAGTGAAATTGAATAAGCAAACTCTCAAAGGTTCTACAAGAGGACTTTAAAGATTCTTCAGAAAGAAAGTGATAAATGGTAAATGAAATACCATCAATTTTCAAATGGTCCCACAGGTCTTTCATTTCTTCTTTTCCAAGTTTGTAGTCCATATTTTCCAGAATGGTTTCTAGTTTATTTTCAAAGACCTTCCCTCCTTAAAAAGAAATATGTGAAATAAGAAAAATGTGAAATAATAGTTTAACTTTAAAAATTCTGTTGAAGTATATGCCCTAAATGCCAGTGAGAGAGAGAAAAGCAAAGTCACAATGCAGATGGTCAGAGAGAACATAAAACCAAGGTGGCAGGGGATTGGGTAGGGATATGAGGAAAAGAACAGCTCCTTATATGTGTTACATGATACCCTGCTAACATTTTAAGTAGACTTTTGAAACAAAGAGAATGAATAAGGTTTATTATTGATTCTTCAATTATATCAGAAACAACAGCCATAATAGCGGCCACTGAATTTGAAACCTACCATTATAACAGTATACTGTCTGTACAAATTTAGTGTTTATCTGAGCTTAAGCTACAAGTCATAAAAGGAAAGAAAAACATTAGTAAACTAACTGTTAACTATAGCACTAACTGTTGAATCAACACCTCTCATCTGTGAGATGGTGATAATAAAAGTACCTACCTCATAGTATTTCTGTGAAAATTAAATAAATTAATAGATGTAAAGTATTTGGACTAGTGCCTGGTACTCCATTCATTAGAAATTAGTTATTGCTATCATTAAGTAATTAAAAGGACTTTAACTTCTTAAAAAATTTTTTTTTCAACTTTTATTTTGGGTTCAGGGGTACATGTGCTGGTTTTTAACATAGGGAAATTGCGTTTTGCTGAGGTTTGGTGTACAAGTGATCCCACCACCTAGGTAGTGTGCATAGTACCTGAGAGGTAGTTTTTCAACTCCTGCCCTCCCTTCTCTACCCCTCCTTGTAGTCCCCAGTGCCCAGTGTCTATTATTTCCATCTTTATGTCTAGGTATAGTCATGGGCCAAGGGCTGCCACCTTGCTCTTCCTCTAGGAGGGTTTTTGGAAGGCACAGGAGCCCCTCATGACTTGACAGCCAGCTTCAAGGGAGGTGCCAGGTCTGTCCTCCCCTCTGTGTGGCTGGCATGCCAACTCCTACAGGTGTCCCCACTGCTAAACGCACTCCCTGGAGTAGAAGATGGTTCAAAGCGTTAAAGAATGGCCTGTTCACACACGGTGGGTTTTAGGCAGCTGCTTTCCACAGATATGGAAAGAGATCCACAGTCCATTTCAGTGGAAAAGAAAGACGACAGAACTGTCAGTATAACTTAATCTTAAAGTATGTGGACCATGAGAACGTATAAGTTTCACTTATAAGTGAGAACATGCAGTATTTTGTTTTCTGTCCCTGTGTTAATTTGCTTAGAATAAGACCGGGCGTGGTGGCTCACGCCTGTAATCCAAGCACTTTGGAGGCCAAAGTGGGTGGATCACCTGAGGTCAGGAGTTCAAGACCAGCCTGACCAACATGGTGAAACCCCGTTTATTTAAAAAAAAAAAAATTGCTTAGAATAATGGCTTCCAGCTGCACCCATGTTGCTGCAAAGGAATGATTTTTTGTTCTTTTTTATGGATGCATAGTGTTCCACGATGTATATATACTACAGTTTCTTTATCTTGTCCACTACTGATGGGAATGTATATTGATTCCATATCTTTGCTATTGTGACAGCGCTGTGATGAACATACAAGTACATGTGTCTTTTTGGTAGAATGACTTATTTTCCTTTGGATATATACCCAGTAGTGGGATTGCTGGGTCAAATGGTAGTTCAACTCTCAGTTCTCTGAGAAATCTCCAAACTGCTCTACACAGTGGCTGAACTAATTTACATTCTCACCAACAGTGCATAAGTGTTCTCTTTTCTCCACAGCCCCATCAACATCTGTTATTTTTTGTCTTTTTAAATAAAGCCATTCTTACTGGTGTGAGATGGTATCCTATTCTGACTTTGATTTACATTTCTCTAATGATTAGTGATGTTGAACATTTTTTCATATATTTGCCAGCCACATGTATGTCTTCTTTTGAGAAGCATCTGTTTTTATCCTGTGTAAAGGGACTTTCAGAAAGGAAATACAAAACTTAAGGATTTCAGTTTTACTTGACTTCTTATTATACATATTACTCACCTTGGAAAGTCTTTAAACGGTCCAGTAACCGATTGCAATACACCTTTCCGTCAGCTATAAGACAAGGGATAACTGATGTCACAGAGAAAGGGATACAGCAACTCATAACAAGAATATATAGACTATGATTTCATAAAGACAACAATCTTACATGATTTGCCTTATAGATTTAACCAGTTTAGCATCCACAAATCCTTCTCTTCCTTGGCTTTAAGAATAAAGTGAAGGAGTAGAGAAAAGTTCTATATTTATTTGTATTACTATGCTGAAACTATCTCTCTGCCTTGATCCTTTTTATCCTTCTGTTAATACTTAACTTCTCTTTTTTCTCCTTTTTCTTTATGCTTTAGGACTTCCAGACATTCCCAAGGGAATATACTAAATTAAAAATGTTTAATAAATTGAAAAATCTTTATTCATTTACAAAGATTTCAAGCTCAGTCCCAATAAGTAAGCTCCATCACCATAATAATCTTTATGAGAGCAAGGACTTTTGTCTTTAATCTCATTACTTAAGAATTACTCAGTGAATATGTTGAATATAAACATAGGTGGAATAAATGATTTCCCACTACCCCCAACAATATTGTCACCTAAACTAAGTTCCCCCAAAGGCCAAAGCTGTATCAGAAATGCTCACAAGTAATTGGCAGAGTTTTTAGTAGCTTCCAGTGTTCCTTAGGTGTGAGTTCTATCCCTATGTTTTTCAAAATATCATCTACTTCATTAGCATTAATCTTGGTTCCTTTGAAAAGATGGAAAAGATGATGAAAAAACTGAAGGTGACAAATGATTTTAAACGAAGTCATCTAAGTTTAATTGCAGGCTTAAATAGTCAAATGATTTTAAATTAAGTCATCTAAGTTTAATTGCAGGCTTAAATAGTCAAAATGCTGAATCAATATTCTAAAAGGATGTCAGAAATAGAACTCGATCTCGTAATTCTAGAGAGGAAAGTACCTTTTGAATGCTCTAATAACAATGGGATAAATCAACAGTCTGAAATGGGGCTTGTATAAAGGTCTATGCCTATGACTATTGTATAAATGACTATGTAAATAATCATTTGGAGATAGGTGGCATCCATATTTGCCTATGTGATAAGATGAATTATTCCTAAAAAGAATTATGACAACGTTTTGTTTCACCAGTTACATAGTAATCTAGATTTCTGGCTGTTTAAACAATGGAAAAGTGATGTTGATTATTGAAAAAATCCAGAACGTATTGGGTATTTTATCAAGACTTTATAATTCAGTAGTTTTGCTCAAAAAGTACATAATAAAAAACTAACCCAGGTTATTAGATAATAGAAGATTTAAAAGTATAACAGAAAAAGTATTAGAATATAGCTATATACAACAATTTTCCCTATAACTTTTTTTTTCTTGAGATGGAGTCTGGCTCTGTTGCCTAGGCGGGAGTGCAATGGTGCGATCTTGGCTTACTGTAACCCCTACCTCCCAGGTTCCAGTGATTCTCCCACCTCAGCCTCCAGAGTAGATAGGATTACAGGTGTGCACCACCACCCCTGGCTAATTTTTTATATTTTAGTAGAGACTGGGTTTCACCATGTTGGCCAGGCTCGTCTTGAACTCCTGAGCTCAAGTGATCCATCTGCCTTGGCCTCCCAAAGTGCTGGGATTACAGGCATGAGCCACTGTGCCTGGCCTACCTATAACTTTTCACTCACCTGTAAATGACTCTACATTTTCCATGACCTTATTCAGTTTAACCTTCTTTTCATCTGTAAGATAAGGTGCAAATGAGACCCAGCCATAATGACTCAGACCCAGAAAATATGCTATAAAGACCTTATACTGTAGAATAAAACACTAACATTCCTAAGTTTACTCTGATTTGTTCTATAAATGTATTCATTTTCATGCCCCTATAAGCATGGAAGTTAAGAATAAAGTTCCAAATATGATAAATATATAGCACAGAAGAAGAAATTACAGTATATAAAATGGTGCTAGGAAGTTTTAAAAGCATTGCTTTGACTTCCTTTCCACTTGGCCTGTCCCACTTTAGAATCCAAGAATAACCCTATGTCTATCATTACTGTCTATTAATTACTACAGGATTTAAAAGAAATATGTTCCATAATATTGGTGTATTTACCTACCTGAAAGCTCATAGCTGGCTACTTCTACATGCAACTGTTACTCAGCCCTTTCTCCATGCTTCCAACTCTCTGGCCACAAAGATTTCCAATCTTTGCTGACTCTCATTTAATTTGTGTACTTACTGGTTGATAATTCTCATCTCTAGGGCCACATCACACAACCTTCTTAAGGAATCATTCCTGTCATGGTCTGCGCGGCTCTGCTTACCTCCCTTATGTGAGGCAATATGATTTGGTAGAAAGGGCAAACCTTTGAAGTTACATAGATCTGAGTTCCCATTTTTACTCTGCCACTTAGGGGCCACATGGCCTTGGGCAAATCAGTTAACCTCTGTGACTGATCTCAATTTTTGTGTCAGAGAAGTTAGGATGATAATCTAATCTGCAGAGTTATTTTGAGGATTATTGATAACGTATGTCAAGTACCAATTATTGTTTTTGGTATATAGTAGGCAGTTAATACTTGATAATTATTATCTGTGGCTATTTCAATTGAGGTGATTAGTTTATATTACCAGGAATATGATAGCATGAGAATAAGAGAAAGGACTAGCCAGTTTCCTACATTAGTTACTTAATTAGTACACAATTCTGTGTTCTTATTAATTAAATTAACGTTATTTTGTACAAATAGTCTTACAAAATATGTGTTTAAGTGGGCAAGACTGACCTGATTTATGTTAGCAAAGGTTTCTAGTAAAAAGATTTCTTAAATAAAGCAAGACTATTCATAAAATTCTGAATCTGTGTGCTTTGAATCAGAAAGAAGAGACATAGGTGTGATACAGTTTTACAGTGCAGTAAGGATCTTAATGAATTGGCTTTTAAATCAACATAGCATTCATAATTTCAGACCCACACAATACACTGTAATACTCAGGAAAGTCACTGTGTTGCTATCAGAGAGAAGGATGTATTTTCTATTTCTTTTTCACAGGATTTAAAAAACTAGGCTTTTTACATGATCAAAACAACATGCTTTAAAATGTTTACTCATATTATTATCCCTTAGCTGGGGATGAGAGGTGGGGATGCCACAATTAAAAAGGTCCTCCCTGCCACAATTGGCAAACTAGCATCTATTCCTGCTTCATTTGATAATAGTGCTTTCCCTTTTTGGGAGGATATAGTGTCTTACCCTCTGTGAGCAATCCGTGGGCAATCAAAGTCCCTACCTTACCCTGGGCACCAAATGGTAAGGCCTAAAAAGATCCAATCAAAAGAGAAAACCAAAGGTGGATGTTGGTATTCTGGTCACCCACCAAAAGGCCAGGATAAGGTAGGGACTTTCATTGCCCTGTCCACAAATTGCTCACAGAGGGTAAGACATATATCCTCTCTCTTGAGACTCTGAATCTTGAAAAGCACAATGTAAGGGTGATTCATTTCTGCTTCACTGCCCTGATAAAACTGTTAATTAGTTCCTGTAACATAGGCTCTTTGATGCTGCCTTGGTTTTCCCCTTTTTGATCCTGGTTTTTCATTTGTTTCTTTGATTCTGTGAACCATTCCATGGCCATGCAAAAATTTCTTTTGTACTTAAGTCAGCCAGATTTAGTTTCTCTTGCTTGCAGTCACAAGACCAGAATACTAACAGCCACCTTTGGTTTTCTTTTTTGATTGGGTCTTTTTAGGCCAAGCTGGCAGAACATTATTTTTCTTAGTGTCAGGGCAGTTACGGGTTAAGGCATCATGGAATATGTATGTTGATACCAGCAGGTTACTTAACTATACCAGCCAATCACCAGTCTATAGAGAATAGGAGTCATCAATGGTGAACTATTTGCTCTAGATTCACTTGCAGTAGCTTGTGAATGCTGGTAATTTATCTCCTCCTTTATCAGGTATGAAAAGGAGAAGATTGTGATTTAAAGTATTTTAAATGGTATGCTGGGCACAGTAGCTCATGCATGTAATCCCAGCACCTTAGGAGGCTAAGGCAGGCAGATCTCTTGAGCCCATGTGTTTGAGATCGGCCTGGGCAAAATGACGAAAATCCATCTGTACAAAAAATACAAAAATTAGCTGGGCGTGGTAGTGCAATGGCATCAGAGTTTGGCCTTGAAGGTAGTACTCACTGTAACAGATTATTGATCTTTGATTTAAACATTTGAATCTGAGATGATAGATTTTTTTATATGAATACATTTTGAATTTTATTTGAGGATCTCAGAGCTTCCTTATCTACTTGGGAGGCTGAGGTGGGAGGATTGCTTGAGCCTGGGAGGTCAAGGCTACAGTGAGCTGTCATTGTGCCACTGCCACTCCAGCCTGGGTAACAGAGACAGACTCTGCCTCAATAAATAAATAAATAAAATAAAGTGTGACTTTTTCCTTGGGTCTGTCTCAGTTTATGATCCTATCCCTCAGGAAGTAGTTCAACTTTGTCTCAATTGCTTATGGCATCAGCAAACAGCTTTATGTAGTTTAAACCAGAGAAAGGAGTGTTCTTGGCCTTTTATTAAAGCAATGCCTGTTATATATATATTTTAAAATGAATTTTCATTTTTTTCTTTTTAAAAATTATTTATTATTTTAAAGTATATCAATTTAAGAGAGATCCTGGTGGATGGTCAAAGGGCTAGATTCTTCTTCCTAAATTCATTCATCTGCTCCATAGATTTAAGAAGTCCTGGTTGGGCACAATGATTCATGTCTGTAATCCTAGCACTTTGGGAGGTCGAGGTGAGCGCATTGTCTGGGCTCAGGAGTTCGAGACCAGCCTGGGCAACATGGCTAAACCCCATCTCTACTAAAAATACAAAAAAATTAGCCAGGCATGGTGGTGCACACCTGCAATCCTAGCTACTCAGGAAGCTGAGGCAGGAGAATTGCTTGAACCCAGGAGGTGGAGGTTGCAGTGAGCTGAAATTGTCTGTCTCACACACACACACAAAAAACTCCTGGTCCAAGGTTACGTTTTCCAATCTTGTTGTTGGCGTTCAATTCTATTATATGAGGGGAGACTATACCAGCTATGCTGTCTGAGATTTCTAATAACCCTCATTCTGATGTTGGCTTCTGGCCTCAATTAGGGGACTACAGTAATTAGGGGACTACAGTAAAGGGTTAAATGCCTAAGTCCTGCTCTTTTATTTCTATTAAGTCATATCTTCTTTCAATCTTGCCTTCACTATATGTAGAAACAGATAGGTTTATACATAAACTATTTAGGAAACTAAATAGGAATATGTAGTACTTATGTAAAGTGAGGTTCTTTTTTTTTTTTGAGATGGAGTTTCGCTCTTGTTACCCAGGCTGGAGTGCAATTGCGCGATCTCGGCTCACCGCTGCAACCTCCGCCTCCTGGGTTCAGGCAATTCTCCTGCCTTAGCCTCCTGAGTAGCTGGGATTACAGGCACGCACTGCCATGCCCAGCTAATTTTTTTGTATTTTTAGTAGAGACGGCGTTTCACCATGTTGACCAGGATGGTCTCTATCTTTTGACCTCGTGATCCACCCGCCTCGGCCTCCCAAAGTGCTGGGATTACAGGCTTGAGCCACTGCGAAAGTGAGGTTTCTTAATGCATTTAACTTATAAACTCTCTTTAGAATCTTACCTTTTTTTTTTTTTTTTTTTTTTTTTTTTTAGACGGAGTTTCGCTCTCGTTACCCAGGCTGGAGTGCAATGGCGCAACCTCGGCTCACCGCTACCTCCGCCTTCTGGGTTCAGGCAATTCTCCTGCCTCAGCCTCCCGAGTAGCTGGGATTACAGGCACGCGCCACAACGCCCAGCTAATTTTTTTTGTATTTTTAGTAGAGACGAGGTTTCACCATGTTGACCTGGATGGTCTCGATCTCTTGACCTCGTGATCCACCCGCCTCGGCCTCCCAAAGTGCTGGGATTACAGGCTTGAGCCACCGCGTCCGGCCCTTTTTTTCTTTTTTTTAAAATAAAAATTATTATTTCTTTTAATTTTAGTAGTGAGATCTAAGTGTATAGAACCTAACCTTAAAATGAAACTCCATTAGCTCATTTAATCCTCATTTAATGTATTGCTTGTATTGACATTGAGGCTTAATATTAGGACAGAATGGTGTAAACTCTGTAGACAAGCAGGAACACTTTTCAAATCTCCACCTAGCACTTTTATTTTTTTTAACTTTTATTTTAGTTTCAAGGGTACCTGTGCAGGTTGATGCTATAGATAAATTGTGTGTTGTGGGCGTCTGGTGTACCCTATTATTTTGTCACCCAGATAATAAGGATAGTACCAGATATTGAGTGCACATGGATACAAAGAAGAGAACAGCAGACACCAGATACCTACCAGTTTTCTGATTCTCACCCTCCTCTCTACCTCCAAGGCTCAGGTAGGCCTTGGTGTCTGTTGTTCTCTTCTTTGTGTCCCCGTGCATTCAATATTTATCCTCCACTTATAAGTGAGAACATGTGGTGTTTGGTTTTCTGTTCCTGCATTAGTTTGCTTAGGATAATGGCCTCTAGCTCCATCCATGTCTGGCACTAATTTTCTATTAGGGATTTATTAGTTATTTTAAAGCCAGGATGATTAGGCATGCTGTCTCTTCTGTCACAATATCTTCCTTCCTTTAGTCTAGTTAGACTTTATGGTGACTTAAGGGATTTTCTTTTTTCCTGATTGATTTGTAAATATCTTCTCTAACTTCATTTTCATTTGAAGTGTTCTTTTGTTTCATTTCTCTATCTGTTCTTACCTCTATCAACTTCCTCAATGGCAGCAGAGTTTAGTTTTGAAGGTAGGACTCACTGTAACAGATTACTGGTCTCTGATTTAAACATTCTAATCTGAGATAATAGATTTTTTTATATGAATACATTTTGAAATTTTATTAGAGGATCTCAGAGTTTCCTTGAATATATAATGATATGCTCACCAGTTGTTGGCAGGTAGTTCTGCAGGTCTTCAATTTCCTCATCTTCCAGCTCATAACCCATGTTTTCCAGGATAGTACCAATTTTAGAGACATTGCACTTTCCAGCTTAAGAAAGAAGGAAGTGATAAAAAATAGGAACTGATAGCTAAAAAAAATTCTGATTCTAGTCACTCATCAATAACGATCAAATAGAACAAATCCATTGTACAGTAATAATTTTTTTAAAAAAAACTATTTAAAAAAAGACTTATTATAGAAGCCAGGAATATAATGTACTACTTTTGTATATTATAAACTACATATGTATTTTTTAAAGGAACCTGATGAATTATGTTAGATTAGAATTAGAGTCTAATTAGCAAACAGAATTTAAAACTTTTTCAAAGTATAAATTATCACATTAAATATAGTTTTATCTAAGACCTATAGGCTAATGGGACAATAAAATAAAAAATCTAATTATTATCTAATGATAAGGTCTTTTAATAGTTAAGGTAAAACTTACAAGTCATAGTTTTACTTGTCTTATTGGGATTTTTACTTACCAGGAAATGATTTTATCTTATCAAGCAATACATTTTTATATACCTTTCCATCATCTGTAAAAAAGGCACAGTTAAGAACAAAGGAAAATTACATAGACAGTCAAAAACAGTAGAAAAAATATAATTTTTTTTTTAGATGGAATCTTACTTTGTCTCCCAGGCTGGAGTACAGTGGCACAATCTCAGTTCACTGCAACCTCCACCTCCCAGATTCAAGGAATTCTCCCACCTCAGCCTCCTGAGTAGCTGGGATTATAGGCATGTGCCACAGCCTCCCAAAGTGCTGGGATTACAGGCATGAGCCACCACACCTAGTTCAATTTTTATATGTGGATTTAAAAAAAGTACTTTCTTAATTTGCATTCCTACATTTCCTATACCCACACCTCTTCATAACTTAAGTCAAAAAATGAGAAGAAGATTCTTAATGTGGACAGTACATGGACAGTACATTCATTATACCACATTGAAACAGCTGTGCCTTTTCCCCCACTCTCAGTTTTCCTTTTTCCTTCTCTTTGCTACTAGCTAATTCAGCTTTCTTTTTCTCTTTGCCCTTCTTAAGCTTTATTTAATCTCAGGGTAATGATACTCTTAATGGCAGTACTCAGGTTTGAAGATATGATAGTCTCTCAAAACTATAAATTTAAATGTCAAATGCATAATATATTTAGAACCAGAGGTTAATCTTTTTTTTTTTTTTTTTGAGACAGGGTCTCACTCCATCATGCAGGCTGGAGTGCAGTGGTGTGATCTCGGCTCACTGCAACTTTGCCTCTGGGATTCAAGCAATTTTCCTGTTTCAGCCTCCTGAGTAGCTAGGATTACAGGAGTGTGCCACCACGCCTGGCTAATTTCACCATGTTGAGTTTTATCATGTTGGCCAGGTTGGTCTCAAACTCCTAACTTCAGGTGATCTGCCCAATTTGGCCTTCCAAAGTGCTGAGATTACAGGTGTGAACCACCATGCCCAGCCTCTTTTTGTCTTTTTATAGGAAATGAGAAGGGCCTATTTTTATGATATTCTCACATCGAAGTCCCCACTAGCACAGAGATAAATATCATAGTAGTGCATCAAATACCTACCAGTAATTGGCAAGATTTTCATCAGGTTCCAGAGTTCCTTATTTGTGAGCTCTATCCCTATGTCTCCCAGTACTTTTTTTATGTCCTTGGCTTGAATTTTTCCTCCTTTTAAAAGATGGAAATGTGAGACAGGTGAGAAATGCCTACTGACTCAAAATGATGAAAGTGTTTATGTTTGTATTTTTTTGTCTATAGCTTTCAGATGAAGAGCACAGGAAATGGAAGTTAGTTCTTTAAATCTAAATAAGATCCTTATTTATAATGACTTAGAGAACTGAACCCAGCTCACAGTAAATGGATGTACAAGTTGCTCAGTGATCTAAATATGTATAAGCTGTTACCTAATCTGAATCATATGAATCTGGTGAAATCTGTGTTACTTTTGCTTTGCTTGAATTATGAGATAGATTAGTTTCACTGACCACATTATTTGTATACCTGTCAAAGTTTTACCTTAATGTTTACTGGGTTACTGTGGTACTAAGTAAGTGTTTTGAATGAATGAACACAAGTGTTGCCTATTTAATCACAGTGAAATGAATTGCAAAATAAAAATGAGGTTTCAGAGTATAAGACTTGTTACAGAGGTGCAGCACCACAAAGTTGTTGCTAAAACATAAATAATCCAGTGGAATCTTCATCATTAAACCCAAACTTTAACAATTAAAAAAGCAGAAGTTAATAAGTCAATGATAGAATAAGAAAATACAATTTTAAATATGTATGTGAAAGTGAAATATTTTCATTTTAGTTTTACATCTTTTCACAAAATGTCTTGCTCACCTGTGAATTTATTTACTTCTTTTAGTAGTTTATGCAGATCAGTCATCCCAGAAGCTAAAAAATAATAAATACAAACAGACATAATTGTGTGCTGATTCAAAAAGATTGTCAGAGCAAAGAAATCATTTTCTTTATGATTTGTTTTGAATTATAGCCTAATAACCTACATAGATAAGCATAAAATAGGGAAAATTACTCTACAAAAATGTTGACTATTAATTTCAGAAATTATTCTCCCCTTCTCTCTTTTAAGATCTCAACCTTTACACACCGTGGAACATTTTCCCCCTTGGGGCATAGTCTATTTACACTATCTGCTACCAAGTCCTAAGAACAAGAGAAAAATATTTCCATTTGGAACCTTAAGATATTTCCCCATTGAACACTCTCCCATATTAACATCCCACTGTTGTACCTATTTTTTAGTAGATTTGTTCATTATATCCTCAAAGATACATTCATTACATACTCAAAATAACAATAAATAAAAGCGCTTTTAAATAGAGAATGTTTCTATTTATTCTGTATCCCATCCAGACATCCTAACCCAGCAAACTAGCATAAGACTTTACACATAGCAGTATTAAATACTTTAAAATTAAATGGTGGATTGGAACATATTACAATGGCACAAGTAACTCTCAAATCAGCATATTTTCTCTAAGTTGCAGATGCAGCATATTTCAGGGTAAGAAGAAAAATAGAAACTATGTACACTATTGATGTTTTGGTATTTTCTTGCCATAAAAGGTTATTTTTATTTTTATTTTTTTCCAGAGTCTCACCCTGTCACCCAGGCTAGAGTGCAATGTTGCAATCTTGGCTTACTGCAACTTCCACCTCCCTGGCTCAAGCAATTCTCGTGCCTTAACCACCCAAGTAGCTGGGATTATAGGCGTGAACCACAACACCCAACTAATTTTTGTATTTTTGGCAGAGATGGGGTTTTGCCATATTGACTAGGCTGGTCTTGATCTCCTGGGGTGATCCACTTGCTTCGACCTTTCAAAGTGGTGGGATCACAGGCATGAGCTAACACAACGGCCCAAAAGGTTATGTTATTTATTAGTATGCAATCCCATTCTTCCTTGGGGGTAGTTTCCATAACACATTTTCCATACATTTAGTTAGCAGATTTGCATGTTGGGGACTCTAATTATATATAGAACAATGTATTACATAAAACTCCCATGGAGCAGAGAAAGAAAACAGTTTGAAAAATAGTGAAGTTTAGGACCATGGATACAGCAATAAGGTTTACCTTATATTTAATCAGAGTTTCAGAAGAAACAAACCTATGGATTAAAGACAATACTGGAAGAGATGATAGCTAATAATTTTTCAGATCTGATGAAAGATTCCAATCATCAGACTCAAAAAGCCCAGTGAATCCTGAGGAGAATAAATGAAAACAAATACATTCCAATCTTCCATAGTGAAAATTCAAACCAAAGACAAACGTCTTAAAAGCAGCAGCAGCAGCAACAACAATAACAACAAAAAGATTACTCTCTAAGGAAAAACATATAGATTCATGGTTGACTTTTCATCACTTCTCATCAGCAACATTAAAAGCAGAAGACAGTGGAACATCTAAAATGTGCTAAAAGAAAATAACTGTCTACCTAGACTGCTACATCCAGAGAAAATACCTGCCAAAAACAAGAGCAAAACAAAGATATTTTCAGACCAAAAAGAAAAAAGGAGTATTTGTCACTAGCAGATCCTAAATAAAGGAAATTATGTTAGTGATCCCAAAGGGAAGGCCTGAAGTACAAGAAAAAATGAAGAGCAAAAAAAGGTAAACATTTGGGAAAATCTGAATAAATGCTGACTTTGTAAAATGCTATTACTTATATAGTTTTGCTGAATTAAAAGAAAACAAGATAGCATGAATGACATAAAACAACATTAATATGGGGAAAGGGAAAAATAGAGTTAAAATGTTGTTAGGTCCTTCTATTATCCAGGAGAAAATGAATTTGGGGACATAGTAACCTGCAAATTGATATTATTTTCTTTACCAAGGTCAGCAATAGAAGTGAAGGTCTGAATGACTGGGTTGATTAAAATTTGTTTTATAGAGCAGGAATAACAGAGAGAGTAGTTTGACAACCAAAGAAGTTAGAAAATAGTTTATATATTGAAAGGAGATGGAGAAATCCAGGAACTAGCATTTTTGATGAAGATAAGGCATATTTCTTGGGAACAAGAGAACTGGAAGGTTGAAAAAGAAGCTAAAATATTTCTTGTCATGATTTCTAAAGTAGAGGAGATGAGACCAAGGAAGGAATAATGTGAGCCAGTGCCAAAACACAGGAAGTTGGTATATCACAAAGGTATAGAGAAATGTATAGCTGGACGATAGGACCTTCAAATGTTATTATACTATACTAACAAAAATAAAAAAATAAAAAGTTACTAAAATTATGTACTTAATCTGAAATTAATGACCCCTTCTCTGTGGTTAATAAACTATCTAGCATCTCTCAAGTACAGACTTATTTATAACTCACTCTAAGACATATACTATGTACCTTGAAATTAATGAAAATGCACCAAATCAAAATGTGTTCTTATATTAGGACTGAGTTCTTCTCTAAGTTATAAAAAGCCATATTAGCACCCAAACAGATCTAGCCTCAGGAACTCTCATACATAAGCCTATAAATAAAATTTCCTCAAAAGGTCTAATATTGTCCATGTTGCTCACCATCAACTGGTAGGTTTTGTGATAAATCTTTAAGTTCCTTATCTGGAAGCATGATTTTCATGTTTTCCAAAATGTTTTCCAGGTTACTAACATCAACCTTTCCACCTAAGGAAAGAATCAAGAATATGAGGGAAATCACAAGAAAATTTCAATTAATCCCCATGTACTATGGCTATCAGCAAAAATATCAATGACCCAAATGTTCAAGTGCATAAAGGTGAACAAGATGGGATTAGAATTGTAACCTCTTGGCTGATCTTGAAAATCCTACAAATTACAGATTGATTCTCCAATGAATTACAATTGTGGAGACAAACTGAAAACATCTTTCTGGTAGGAAGGGCCTAAATGCTCAGTTTAGTTCTTTCAGTTACTGAAAAGCCCTAAACAACTGCTAATAGTTCACTTCACATTTTCTTTGTAGAACCAGATTTAAATCTGCTTTTCAACTAAACTGGGCAAAAGCCAAACTTGGCAACAAAATGAAAGACAACTTGGAAAATGCAGCTATATTTAGAAACAGTATAATAAATACAGAGTTAATTATTATAAGAGATGGTAAGACCTGTAAGAGAATAACCAGGCAAATTTGAGGCAGGAGGATTCTCTTCATGCTTCTTACCTTTGAATGATTTCACACCATCTAGCAATCTATTTTCAGATATAGTTCCATCATCTACAGGAAAAGGCAAGATTCACAGCACAGATAAAGTGATACAGAGATTTAGAAAACTGGTACAAAATATCATTTCATAAAAATATTTCTCAATGATTTGCTTTAGGAATAATTTTGATTTTTGCCATCCCATGAGTTTGGAATCACAGAATAGAGAAAACTCTCAGAGTGCTATTAAGGGGCCATGGAGGATACAGCAATAACTCTTACATTTAATCAGAGTTACAGAAGAAACAAACCTATGGAATAAAGACAATATTGGAGAAGATGATGGCTAATAATTTTTGTGAATCTATCTTTCCATAGAGAGTAATATTTTTGTTGTTGTTGTTGTTGCTGCTGCTTTTAAGACATTTGTGTTTGGTTTGAAGTTTCACTATGGAAGATTGGAATGTATTAAGTATATTAATGACTTAAAGTAATCATTTAATCATTTAATAGTGGCAAACAGCTTTAAAGAAATATGAACATGTCTTTTACTTTTCTTCTGTGACTATTCCTTCTTTCTTCTACTTTCCTATTCCTTCCACTTTCCCATTTTTTCTTATATTTCTCAGCTCAACTTTTAGTTGTCATGGTGGAAACAAAAATAACAAAAATTTCTATATCCAATGGCAAGATTTTAAGAAAATAGAGTTGATGACTCTCAAAGAAATAACTTAATTATATTTTCCAAAGGAAGAAGAAGGTCATGCTAAAATTTCTTTATCATTTTGCTTTTTCAAACTAGAATATCTAATAGCTATAGGTTTTTGTTTTGTTTTGTTTCGTTTTTTGTTGTGTGTTTATTTTTGTAGTTGTTAGGATGTCTTAAGTACATAGGGCTAAACTTCTTCGAAAGGTCCATTAGTATTTGAAGTGCTCACCATCAATTTGCAGATTTTGTACCAGTTCCAAGTATTCTTTAGGTGTGAATTCTATTCCAAGGCCTTCAAGAATACTTCTTAGATTTTTCACATCAAGTTTTTCTCCTTCAAAAAATGGAAATGACAAGTTTAGTTGACAATATTAAGAATTATTTAAGTATTCAACAATATGAAAGAAAATTGTCTTTGTTTATACATTACCATCCCTGACAGCTGATAAAAAAACAAAGACATACCAAGACCTACTGAGTGGAATAACTGTTAAAACTCATAAATGAATACATTAAAGTTGCATGATATGAAATCAACATATAAAAATTAGTAGGGGGTTGGGTGTGGTGGCTCATGCCTATAATCCCAGCACTTTGGAAGGCTGAGGCAGGAGGATTCCCTGAGCCCAGGAATTTGAGATCAACACAGGGAGCCTGGGCAACACAGGGAGACCACATCTCTACACAAAATTAAAAAAAAAATTAGCTGGGTGTGGTGGTGTGTGAAAACACTCAGCTACCTGGGAGGCCAAGACAGGAAGATCACTTGAGCCTGGGAGGTAGGATGCAGTGAACTGTGATTGTACCACTATACTCCAGCCTGGATGACAGAGTGAGACCCTATCTCAAAAAGAAAAAATTAGTAGTGTTTCTATACCCCAGCTTTGAACTATCTAAAAAAGAGAAAGTAAATAATCCCATTTACAATAACATCAAAAATTTTAAAAATGGGAATAAATTTAACCAAGGATTTGAAAGATCTATACGCTGAAAGCTATAAAACATTGATGAAATAAACTGAAGAAGACACATATACATGCAAAGATATCCTATGTTCATGGATTGGAAGAATCAATATTGTTAAAATGTTTATACTATTCAAAGTGACCCATATATTCAGTGCAATTCCTATCAAAATTCCGGTGTCATTTTTGACAGAAATAGACAAAATAATCCTAAATTTTATATGGAACCACAAAAGACCCCAAATAGCCAAAGCAATCTTGAACAAAAGAGAACAAAGCTGGAGGCATCACACTTCCTGATTTCAAAATACAATTCAAAGCCATAGCAATAAATATAGCATGGTACTGGCATAAAAAGACATATTGGCCAGTGGAACAGGATAGAAAGCCCAGAAATGAACCCATGTATTTACAGTCAATTGATTTTCAACCAAAGTACCAAGAACATACAGTCTCTTCAATAAATGGTGCTGGGGAAATTGGATCTCTACATACAGAAGAAATAAATTAGATCCTTATCTCACCTACATATAAAAATCAACTCAAAATGGACTAAAGACTAAACACAAGACCCGAAATTGTATAACTACTAGAAGAAAACACAGGCGCAAACTCCATGACTTTGGTTTGAGCAATGATTTTTTAGATATGATCCCCAAAGTATAGGCAACAAAAGCAAAAACAGAAAAATGGGATTATATCAAATTAAAAAGTTTTTGCACAGTGAAGGGTTTCTTGATGGGAGACTTTTTATTACTGATTCAATCTCCTTATTCTTTATTGGTCTCTCATACTTTCTATTTTTTTATGATTCAGTCTTAGTAGAGTGTATGTTTCTAGGAATTTTTCCATTTATTCTAGGTTGTCCAAATTGTTAATATAACTGTTCATAGTAGTATCATCCTATTATCCTTTTTATTTCTGGGTATTGATTGTAATGTCTTCTCTTTCATTTCTCATTATGTTTATTTGAGCCAGCTCTCTTTTTTTCTTAGCCTGTTTGTCAATTTTGTTTACCTTTTCAAAAGAACAACTTTTAGTTTTTTTGTTTTTCTAGTCTCTCTTTAATTTATTTCTGTTCTTACCTTTGTTATTTCCTTCTTTCCCTCTGCCAAGTTTGGGGTTAATTTTTTCTCCTTCTGTATCTAACCTGTCGTTCATTTACTGAATCTTGGCAGTTATACATATCTTACCTCTAAATGTTTTATATTTGAGAAGTCAAGTGAAAAGCACAATTGAGGCATCAAACCATATACCTTATAAGGAGCTAATATCTAAAATATATACAGAACTCAACCCAATAGCAAAATAACCTAATTAAAAAATGATAAAAGGCCCTGAAAAGATATTCAAAAGAAGACATATGAATGGCCAACAGATATTTGAAAAAATACTCAACATCTCTAATAATCAGGAAAATGCAAATTAAAACCCCAGGGAGATATCCCCTTACATCTCTTTTTTTTTTTTATGTACAACGTGACCACATTTAATGTTTACATAGCCATTATATATGTATTATATTTAAGTCTTTATCATACACATTTGAAGAAGACAAAACAAAATATAAAATAAATGATTTCAGCATTCAACTCAATAAGCAAAAATTGAACAACAAAATGAACCAAAGGAAACTAGAAGGAAGGAATGAATTAATGAAAGTAGAAGCAGAAACTAATGCAACAGAAAAAAAGAGGTTGATAAATTAAATCAAAAGATAATTCTTGACAAGACCAATAAAATCAAGAAAACTTCCAGAAATATTATTTTTAAAAAAGAGAGAAAGAGAACATAAGGAATGAAAAAGGAACTATAACTACAAAAAAAAAGAGAACAGTTTAACAAAATTACAAGAGACTCTTACGTAACTTGATACCAATACATTATCAAATCTAGGGATAGTAAATAGCTGTCTATGAAAATATAGACCAAAATATAGACAAAAAATATACAAATATTTACTGAAGAAGAGGTAGAAAAATCTGAATCAACTGATGATTATAGACAATATTGATAAATTTATTTAGTACTCTCCCTAAATGCACCAGAACCCCCAAAACATTAAAAGCTTCTGAACTCATGGCTGATTTTATCCTTACACCCAAAGCAGGAAAAGATACAAAAGAACACACATCACATGTACACACAAGAGAATTAGACATGAAACTTGTGTGTGACATTGATTGCCTTGATTCTCTCTTTGGAAGCTTGGGCAGGTGGAGGGAAGTTTTGTTTTTGTTCCTTCACCCTCCCTCTACTCAGCTCTAGAATCTTGTGTCCACATGCAGCTCACCGAGATCACTTTGCATATAGTCCCATGGCAGTTCCACTGCACCCAGGTAGTATCTTCTGGTGGCACTTCATTTTATGGATGTTGAAACTTGCACAGAGAGGTTAGGCAACTTCTGCATGGCCACACAGCTTGTTAGTGGTAGCATTCGAATTCATGTACTCTGGCTCCAGAAGTCATTCTCCTAACCACTATGCTATCTATACTTCTGTAACTGGGTTGTGGGATGGGATGGGATGGGGCTCAGCTCCTCCCCCACATTTGATGTGCCCAAAGTTCTTGGGCTTCCTCGCCCCAGGAATGGGGAAGAGGCCATGGCAGCACAGTGAGTTTACTGGTTAAGTAAGTATTGGATCCAAAGAGTTTTGCAGAGAGTGATTTATTAGGCAGAGAGAGAAAGAGAGAGAAGCAGAGCGAGCTTCCACACTGTTGTGGAAGGGGATCCCAGAGAGGGAAATCCCCCCTTATACCTCTTAGAATGACTATTATCAAAAAGACAAAAGATGTCCAGAATGTGAAGAATAGGAAACACTTGCACACTGCTGGTGGGAACATAGATTTTTTAAAAAGAAAACAGCATGGAGGTTCCTCAGAAAGGTAAAAACTGAATTACCACATGATCCAGCAATCCCACTTCTGAGTATATATACAAAAAAAATGAAATAAAAGTGTTGAAGAAATACCCACACTCCTATATTTATTGCAACATTATGCATAATAACCAAGACATGGAATTAACTAAAGTGTGCATCAATGCATGAAGGGATAAAGACAAAGTAGTATACATACACAATGGAATAGTGGACCACCTTTAAAAAGAAGGAAATCCTGTCATTTGCAACAATGTGGATGAACCTGGAGGACATTATGTTAAGTGAAATAAACCAGGCAAAGAAAAACAAGTACTACACGGTCTCATTATATATGGAATCCAAAAAAGTTGAACTCATAGAAGCAAAGAGTAGAATGGCAGTTACCAGAGGCTAGAGTCAGGGGTATGCTGGTCAAAAGGTACAGGTTTCAGTTAGACAAGAGGAATATGTTTTAGTGAACTATTATACTGCATAGTGAGCATAGTTAAGAAAAATGTATATTTCAAAACTGCTAGGGATAAAAGAAATTATCAACAGAGTAAACAACCTACAAAACGGGAGAACATTTTTGCACTGTGCATCTGACAAAGGTCTAATATCCAGCATCTATAAGGAACTTAAACAATTTTACAAGAAAAAAACAAAACAAAAAAACCCATTAAAAAATGGACAAAGGACATGAAGAGGTACTTATCAAAAGAAGGCATATATGTGGCCAAGAAGCATATGAAAAAAAGCTCAACATCTGATCATCAGAGAAATGCAAATCAAAACCACAATTAGATATCATCTCATACAGTCAGAATGGCTATTATTCAAAAGTCAAAAAATAACACATGCTGGCAAGGTTGTGGAGAAAAAGGAACACTTACACACTGTTGGTGGGAATGCAAATTAGTACAACCATTGTGGAAGACAGTGTGGTGATTCCTCAAAGACCCAAAGTCAGAACTACTATCTGACCCAGCAATCCCATTATTGGGCATATACCCCAAAGGAATATAAATCATTCTATTATAAAGATACATGCACATGTAGGTTCATTGCAGCACTATTCACAATAGCAAAGACACAGAATCAACCCAAATGCCCATCAATGATAGACTGGATAAAAATAATATGGTACCTATACACCCTGGAATACTATTCAGTCATAAAAAAGAATGAGATCATGTCCTTTGCAGTGACATGGATGGAGCTGGAGGCCATTATCCTTAGCAAACTAATGCAGGAGCAGAAAACCAAATATCACATATTCTCACTTACCAGTGGGAGCTGAGTGATGAGAACATAGGGACATATAGAGGGGAACAACACACACTTGGGCCTAATAAAGGAGGGAGAAGATCAGGAAAAATAACTAATGGATATTAGGCTTAATACCTGAGTGATGAAATAAGTGGTAAAACAAACCCCAATGACACACATTTACCTATATAACAAACCTGTACAACCTGCACATGTACCTCTGAACTTAAAAGTTAAAAAATTGCTAAGGGTAGATTTAGAATATTTTCACCATAAAAATGATAAGTAGGTGAGGTAATGACCTCATCTACTTCATTAGCTTGATATAATAATTCCACAATGTATACATATATTAAAATGTCACATTGTACCCTATTCCTCACTTCCTCCCTCCTCTCCCTCTCCCTCTCCCCCCTTCTTTCTCTCTTTCTTTTGTTCTTTCTTTTTCAGGGTCTTGCTGTATCATCCAAGCTGGAGTACACTGGGTGATCTTGGCTCACTGCAACCTTGAACTGCTGGGCTCAAGTGATCCTCCTGCCTTGGTCTCCCAAGTAGCTGGGATTATAGGTCTGCGCTATGCCTGGCTAATTTAAAAATTTCTAGTGAGTCGAGATCTTGCTATGTTGCCTAGGCCGGTCTTGAACTCTTGGGCTCAAGTGATCCTTCTGCCTTGGTCTCCCAAAGTGCTGGGATTACAGGCATGAGCCACTGGTACCCAGCCAAACCTGCAAGAAGTAGATCATTCCAATTTTTTTTGTTTTTGAGACAGGGTCTCACACTGTTGCCCAGGCTGGAGTGCAGTGGTGCTCATCATGGCTCACTATAATATCAAACTCCTGAGCTTAAATGACTCCTTCTTCCACCTTCTAAGTAGCAGGGACTACAGGTGTGGACCACTACCTCCAGGTAATTTGAAAGTATATATATTTTTTGTAGAGACGAGATCTCACTATGTCGCCCATGCTGATCTTGAACTCCTTGAGCAAACCTCCTGCATTGGCCTCCCAAAGCACTAGAATTACAGTTGTGTGCCACCATATCTGGCCAATTCTAATTTTATATGAACTCTTTCAGAAACTAATAAAAAGGAAATATTTCCCCAATATGGATTATTTATGGCCAATATAACCTTCATACCAAAAGCACATGAAAATTATGAAACATGATAGTACATAAAAGAAAATGATACAACAATTTCAGTCATGAAAACAGATTTAAAAATCTGATAGAAAACATCAGTAAGCCTAATCCAAAATTCATGCCTAAATTCAATATATTTTAGTAATGCAAGAGTTGTTTAAGTGAAAAAAAAATGTGTGCGTGCCATTTTCCACATCAAAGATTAAAGGAAAAACCATACAATCATCTCAATAAACAAATTATTTCAACAAACATTGTTGATCAAGTACAATAGTCTAGGTATTGTTCCAAATACTGGGGGTTACAGTAGTGAAAAAAAACAGGCAAACACCTTGCCTTCATCTTCCAGCGAAAAGAGAATAGGAGAATTCCTTAACTTAATAAAGGGTGTCATCCGGAAACTTCAACAAACATTCTCAAAGACAAAATGTTAAGACATTTCCTTTACAATCAGGAAGGAGACAAGAATGACTATGAACACTGTATTTAGCAGTATAGATTAGAAGTCCTAGTTATTGCAGTAAGGCAAGGAAAAACGTGTAAGTTAGAACACTTGAATTTTCTTTTTTTTTTTTAGTTTATATTTAATTTCCCAAAGCAGATTCATAGAACAGCTGAAAAGGAAGAAACAGAAACCGTCCCCATTCGTAGGTATTTATCTATATATATAATTTATTTATCCATGTGACACATAAAAATTTACATATCTACATACAACACACAGAATGCATGTGTCTACATATGTTACATAATAATTTATGTATCTAAAAGACTCCATCAGCACCTATGGGCAGATTGCTGGAATTAATGGAGAGTTTTGCAAGAAGCTAGGTTTAAGATCAGTATAGAAACATCAGTTGCATTTCTATACTTTAACCAAAGAAAGAAAACATAATTTAAACAAAACAGCATTTTGATTAGCAGAACATTAAGATACTTAGAAATGAAGATAATAAAAAAATTTTTTTTTTGAGACAGGGTTTCGTTTTGTTGCCCAGAACTAGAGTGCAGTATCACAGTCATAACTCACTGCAACCTCAAACTCCTGGACTCAAGTGATCCTCCTGGCTCAGCCTCCCAATGTGCAGGGATTATGGCATGACCCACCATACCCAGACATAAAATATTTACTGAAAGACAGGAAGGCAAATTAAATAAATGGAGATCTATAACATGATTGGAAAAACAATTGATCATAATCTTTTCTCATGAAATTGATGTATGGAGATTCAATGCAATTTCAATATTAAAATTCCAATAGATTTTTAAAAAATGAATTTGACAAGCTGATTCTAAAATTTATAAGGGAAAATAGAATCAAGAATCACAAGATACCCCTAAAAGATGAATAAAGTGAGACATGATGTCCTAACTGATAGAAAGATCTATTACAAAACCAGAGTAATTAGTAATTAGATCACTAAGAAACACCCAAGCATATATGGGAACTAATTTATGACACCAAAGCATATATGGAAACTGATTTATGACAAAGTGAATATTACAAATCATCTGGGAAAGAAGAGATCATTTAATATATAATGCTGAAACAACTGTTTATCTGTAAATAAAAGATTAAACTTAGATCTGCATCTCATTTAAAAAATCAGATATAGGTGATGGGGAGGAAGGCAGCAACTCACACTGCCACATGTGTACCTATGCAACTATCTTGCATGTTCTTCATATGTACCCCAAAACCTAAAATGCAATAAAAAAAATCAACTACAAGTGAATTAGAAACTTAACTCTGAATGTCAAAACTTTCAACTTTAAGAAGAAAATATGGGTGGGAGGGGGAGGTGGGGAGGGATAGCCTGGGGAGAAATGCCAAATGTGGGTGAAGGGGAGAAGAAAAGCAAAGCACACTGCCATGTGTGTACCTACGCAACTGTCTTGCATGCTCTGCTCATGTACCCCAAAACCTATAATCCAATAAAAAATTAAAAAAAAAAAAAAAAAGAAGAAAATATGGACTACTGTTCATGACTTGTGGCAACAAAAGATTTTTTAGGAATGACCCAAAATATGCTAAACTTGAAAAAAGTAATAACATTTATTATATTTAAATTATGAAGAGCTTTTTAACAAAAGGCACTCTAGAAAAAGTGAAAAGGGTAAGACAAACTCTGGGAGAAGACACACATATAATTGACAGATGATTGACATCTAGTAATACATATAAAGAGTTATTAAAAAAGATAACCTAATGGAAAATAGGTAAAAAGGCATTAATTGGCGTTTTATTGAAGATAAAATACAAATACGCAACAAATATATAAAAAGATATTCAGCTTCATTAGTAATCAACAAAATGTAAATTTAAACCTCAATCAGATATTCTTTTACATTTACTAGACTGGCAAAAAAACTTTCATAATAGCATTTATAAGTTTCCTAGTTTGCTCAAAAGATGATTAATATTACAGCTATTTTTGGTATGACTTGGCACCACTTTAATAAGTTGAATATTCATATACACTATGATGAAGACATTCTATTCTTAAGCATACCCTAGACTTGAAGTTTAGTAATGGAATTCTTGTAATTGTGACTCAGGGATTGTTTATATGTTAAACCTATAATAATGATATATAAAAGAATATTTAAAAACAGGAACAATGTAAGTATACATACATAGGCAATTTGATGAATTAATTATGGTATATTTGAAGAATACAATCTTTATATATAAGTATATAGTAATGAAAAGGAATAAACTAAAACAAGAAGCCAAAAAATCCTAAGTGACATAATTATCTTAAAAAAGAAAGTTACAGAAAACTACACATATATATGTAGTATTTTTATACAGTCAAACCAAGCAAAATGAAAGACTATGTTGTTATCACATAGGTGATAAAACTATTATTTTTTAAAATAAGAATAAACAATATAAAATTCAGAATAGTGTTATCTCAAAGAGTAGGGAGGCAGGGAAATGGGGAGGGGAGTAATCATGGGTTGATCCAAAGATATTGGAAATATTCTAGTTATTTTGTTGATTATTGGGTTCATGGATATTAGCATGATGCTTATAAACATATATATTAAATGAAAAGATGAGAAAAATAATTTAAAAACTACAATTTAAATATTTACAGTAAATTTTAACTTGCCTGTAACTGCTTTCACATCATCCATCACCTTTTTCAGAGGAACATTTTCATTAGCTGTAATACAAAGCATAACAAATTTGGACAATGACATAGAACTTAGAAAAATTATAAGTTACAGCCCAATGAAAGACTATGTTTTTTAATAAACTGTTTTCATATTAAGTTTATATTTCCTGGTTTGAGTGCTTGATTCTTTATTAGTAAATAGTACCAAGGTAGTCAGCCCATGTTCCTTAAACACAGGGTTTGACTATGACAAACGTACTGTGTTCTTGGTTCTTGGATTTTCAGATATTTTCTTGAACTCCCAACCTCAGGTGATCTGCCCTCCTTGGCCTCCAAAGTGCTTGGATTACAGGCGTTAGCCGCCACACCCGGCCTTTGATTTTCAGATATTTTCTAATAAGTGTGGTAAAAGATATCATCATAGAGATTTTTTTTGCATGTGTGAACCCGACATCTAACACAGATACTGAGCTTCTATCTATTCTCAATATGCTTTCCTCTAATGTTTTCAACTTCTGTATATATCTCAAAATGGTGGTGACACGGTTGTTAGATACTTCAGGAAATATTAATGATGTTCTGCTACTTGCTATTGTAGATATTTTTCTCTCATTTATTTCTCTCTTGCTTTGTTGTTTATTCATTCATTTCCCCCCTTGCTCTCAGGTCTGCTTCTCCCTACTATTCTCTGGCCTGATAACAGTTGTGAATATCCTCTCAGCATTGCTTATAATTGAGCAGGATAATAATCCAGATGAATAAAAATGACAAAAAACAGGAGTTCTTCTTATTTTCACACCAAGTTCTTCTCCACGATTCTTAGAAATGTCTTAAGTGCTTCAAATCAATCTAGTTTTAGAAATTCATATACATGATACTTTGGCTGGGCGTGGCGGCTCACACCTGTAATCCCAGCACTTTGGGAGGCTGAGGCAGGTAGATTACATGGTCAGGAGTTCAAGACCCGCCTGGCCGGGCCGGGCACGGTGGCTCAAGCCTGTAATCCCAGCACTTTGGGAGGCCGAGGTGGGTGGATCATGAGGTCAAGAGATCGAGACCATCCTGGTCAACATGGTGAATCCCTGTCTCTACTAAAGATACAAAAAATTAGCTGGGCACGGTGGCGCGTGCCTGTAATCCCAGCTACTCAGGAGGCTGAGGCAGGAGAATTGCCTGAACCCAGGAGGCGGAGGTTGCGGTGAGCCGAGATCGCGCCATTGCACTCCAGCCTGGGTAACAAGAGTGAAACTTTATCTCAAAAAAAAAAAAAAAAAAAAAAAAAAGACCAGCCTGGCCAAGATGGTGAAACCCTGTCTTTATTAAAAATACAAAAATTAGCTGGGTGTGGTGGCAGTTGCCTTCAATCCCAGTTACTCAGGAGGGTGAGGCAGGAGAATTGCTTGAACCCAGGTGGCAGAGGTTGCAGTGAGCTGAGATCAAGCCACTGCACTCCAGCCTGGGTGATAGAGTGAGACTCCATCTCAAAAAAAGAAAGTAAAAAAGAATTTCATTTCATATACATGATCCCAAGATTCTAAGGTCTCCCTTAAAAGGCAAAATAATTATTTACAATGCTCACCATCAACATGTTGATTTTGTATCACACTTTGGAGTTCTTTATTTTTGAGCTTGATCCCCATGTTCCCCAGAATTGTGTTCAGGTTACTGATATCAATCTTTCCTCCTTAAAAAAGAGAAAGAAATGTGATTTTTTAAAAAAGCCTAATAAAGACAATGTGAAAAATACTTTTCATGCTGATGAGTTAGTTAAAGGCTGTTGCTGAGAGTTAATTGCAATGAACTAATTGGAAAATAGGTTGGCAATGACTATCATGATCCATTAAAACATTCATAAATATGGCCAGGTATAGTAGCTCATGCCTATAATCCCAGCACTTTTGGAGGCCGAGGAGGGAGGATTGCTTAATCCCAGGAGTTCGAGACCAGCCTGGGCAACACAGTGAGACTCTGCCTCTATTATTTAAAAAGCTCATAAATCTTAGCCCAATAGTTTCACTTTTGGGAATACAGGTAAAGCTTATGCCAACAGAGGGAGCAAGTTCATTGTAGTCTTTGTTACAATAAGTAAAACAAACTCAAACACCTAGAATTTAAATATCTAACAACAGGGTATTGTTAAGTAAATCAATGTATTTTTGACCCATAGAAAATTATTTAGCTATAGCCATTAAAAATATACATTTTGAAAATAAGGTGGAGTTATACATATTTACTAAAGTCCTTATGCCAGAATAAACATAAAACAAACAATGTAAATAATACCTGTGATTTTTCTGCCATTCCACAGATAGCAAGCACATAAGTAGAGCAAACCTCAGATAGACAATATCAATGTATTATTCTACCAGATGGACTAATTTTTCCTGTGCCTATCATACTGTGAGCATCTCAACTCAGTGTGATTCCAGTATTAGATGTATTTTTGCATATCATGGATCTTGACCAATTGCTTCATCTAATTGCTCAACTATAGAAATCTATTCCATCATTGGATGAAAAAGTTACCAATATACTATTCTTGATAGTATATTGGTAACTTTTTCGTGATCTTCCAATAGGATTTCAGAGTAATTTTGACTATATGAGGTTTTTAATATTTTAACTATACAGGCTTCAAAATATTAAGAGTGGTTATGATTAGATAGTAGGACTATGAGTATTATTTTTTAAAAATTAGATACTGCTAGGTGTGGTGGTTTAAACCTGTAATCCCAGCCCTTTGGGAGGCAGAGGCTGGTGAATCACCTGAGATCAGGAGTTTGAGATCAGTCTGGCCAACATGGTGAAACCCTGTCTCTACTAATACAAGTATTAGCCAGGTGTGGTGGTGGGTGCCTGTAATCCCAGCTATTCAGGAGGCTGAGGCAGGAGAATTGCTTGAACCCAGGAGGCGGAGGTTGTGGTGAGCCAAGATGGTGCCATTGTACTCCAGCATAGAGGACAAGAGTGAAAATGTGTCTCAAAAAAAAAAAAAAAGTTAGATACTTTATTTACTGGGCATGTGACACTTTTTTATATTGAAAAAAATAAAAGAATACTAGCAATTCAGAACCGAGCATTATGATGGTTATTTTCAGCACTGTGAGGGCCACAACTTTAATTAGACCTATCTAAGGCTAAATAGAAAGACAAAAGCGGAGATACTTAAGATTGTTTGCTTTGAGAGTGATCCTGGGATCAAGCTTGCACAGCATATACACACAAAAGACTATAAGATCAATATATAAACAATAAACAGAAGAGGTAGCAGAAGAATTATGCCCTCATAAGTAGAAATAAAGACAAAGATTGAGAATCTCAATCTTATATACTTTCTTTCTTTTTTTTTTGAGATGGAGTTTCGCTCTTGTTACCCAGGCTGGAGTGCAATGGCGCAATCTCGGCTCATCGCAAATTCCGCCTCCTGGGTTCAGGCAATTCTCCTGCCTCAGCTTCCTGAGTAGCTGGGATTACAGGCACGCGCCACCATGCCCAGCTAATTTTTTGTATTTTTAGTAGAGACGGGGTTTCACCATGTTGACCAGGATGGTCTCTATCTCTTGACCTCGTGATCCAGCTGTCTTGGCCTCCCAAAGTGCTGGGATTACAGGCTTGAGCCACTGCGCCCGGCCAATCTTATATACTTTCTTATCACATTTATTACACACCTTTGAAAGACTTCAAACCCGTTAGCAATCTATTCCGAAAAACTTTCTTATCACCTGTAAGAAAAGGCACAGTTCAGGACAGAGAATGACTCACTAAGAGACTATAAGGGGCAGACTTTTCTTTGTTAAACTGACCTTAGAAATTGACCCTCTTTCACCTTCAAACAGTGAGGAAGTTAAGCAACAAACAAAGCTTTCATTATGATATGGAGTGGTAATCTAGTGTAGTGGTCAAGAGCCTGCAATTAAATTCTCGCTCTGCAGACTGGCTTTGTGGCCTTAAGCAAGTCACTTACTCTTTCTATGCCTCTGTTTCCACCACTGTAAGATGCAGATGTGTCATCATTATGTGTGGTGAAGATAGTAACTGCACATCATTAGGACTTAAGTCTATATGTTATTGTTAATAGAACTACTTACTCTTTGACACTGAAGGCAACTGTTGGTTTTAAATTACAGAGCTGAAACTCCTCTCATCCCTTATTTCTATCACATTTTCATTCTGTTTACCTCCTCCTACAGCTAAAGTTTGACATGTCAATGGCCTAATGGGTAGCAGCAGGGATTTGCTTAGTCCTTAGTGGCAAAGCTCATGCTTGAAGGTTTTAATAACTTCCAAACTGTTATAACATATGGAAAAATTTAATTTCCTAGTAGCTGTTATAAGAACTGCTTGCAGGGATAAATAAGCAAAAGCTCATTTTGGGAAGATGTGGGGACTTCGTGTTTAAAGTAAGAAACAACATTCCTAATAGAGAGGGAAATAAGTTTGGTATCCTCCCAGAAATTGAGAACAGAGGAAAGAATTTTTAGGGTTTAGCTCTGTGAGAGATAAGAGTCGGGAAAAGGGAATCAGCAGTGGCAATAGATGAAAAGTGATTCTGGGAAAGGGTAGAAATTCTCATGAGGACTTTGGCAATGTTTACTGAGAGACAGCAGATATAAATCCCTTTCCTCCTTGCAAAATCATAAGTAACATCTTTCTTTCTCATCAGTGGTTTTGTGGAAGAGGATTCTTTTGGAGGTTGAATACTGCACCCAAGTTAGCACATGGCAATGATTGTTCATATGGAAACAAGAGCTGGAGGATGTATGCAGGTAGCATGTGAACATGCATCACTTTCACATATACATTTCAAGAGTAGAACCATAAAACTAAACTGCCTGGAGTTCACAGTAACAAACAGTCAGCTCACCATCAACTGGTAGTAATTTTAGCAGTTCCACACATTCCTTATCATTGACTTCTATCCCCATGTCTCCAAGAACATTTTTCAGATCTCTGGCATCAACCTTTTCTCCTTTGAAAATATGGAGTGTTAATAGGTAAAAAGTTTACAAATTAATAACTTTAAAAATAATTTTAAGTTCATATTAACCTATTTCAGTCATGATTTTTTATATTTATAGTATTTCATATAGCATCGCTCTCAATTTGGAGTTAAAGAGCAAAGGCAAAATGGAACATGCAAATGTAGTGTGATAACAGAAGTCAAGACAAATCTGTTCCTATAATATTAACATGATGAAGGCTCTCTTAATGTTGAGGATAATATGTAAAATGAAATCTAGTTAACAAATTAGATAATCAGTTGCCAACAGAATGCTGGCAAGAGATACTATACTGATCATTCATGAAACTACATGTATCTTGAGCTTTGCAAACTTTAACCTCGTTGTTATTATGCTTGCCTAAAATTTAGCTATACACGTTCAGCAAAAAACATATAGGTGAAAAAACATCTCCTCAGAACACTGAACTTTTTATGAAGACCACATTATGTGGTTTACTTTTAAAAGTTTATCCAATATCAAATTGATTTTATCAGGCAGAAATATTTTACAATAATTGGGTAAAATGATAAAATTAATCTAACAACAGACTATGGGGGAAACAGCATCTAAAATATAATTCACTGTAAAGCATTAGGGTTTCAGTGTTACAGAAACTCACCTGCAGCAGCCCCCGACCTTCCTGATGAAACAAGAGTCAAGAGGCAAAGCCACTCTGGCTAATATTCTAGGGTTTTAGAATATCATCCTGCCTCTCAAAATTCATTTAACAAAGTAGAGGAAGGGGGTTTGGGGGAAGAAAGGGAGGAAAAGATGAATAAGTTAAACACAGGGGGTGTTAAGGGCAGTGAAACTATTCTGTATAAAACTATAATGGTAGATACATATCTATATGCATTTGTCAAAACTCACAGAACTATGCAACACAAAGAGTGAACCTTACTGTAAACTATGGATTATACTTAATAGTAATGAATCCATGTTGGTTTATTAATTGTAACATATGTGCCATACTAACACAAGATGTTAATAGCAGGGAGACTGTGTGCTTGGGATAAAGAGGAGTGGAAGGATGGGAATATGGAACTCTATACAATATGCTCAATTATGTAAATCTTAAAGTGTGCTTAAATAGTCTATTATAATAACATGTGATGCTAATAATAATAATGCCGCCTACTAAGAACCTGACCTTCTTTAGAGCCTTGGAGTGCAGTTTGCCTCTCTCCCATTGGAGATTTAGGATGTACTGTGACTGGGTGTACTTGGCTGATATGTACATGCCAAACATGGAGAATGACCCAATGCTAAAGTGTCCTGTTACAGCTGAGTGTCACAGAGTACTAAGACCTCAATGGAGGAGACAGTAAACCTGAAAAAAAAAAAAACTCACCTGTAAAATCTTTTATTCTCGGCATCACGTTTTTCAGATCAACCTTCTCATCAACTGTAAGAAATGGAGCAGTCACAGAGCAACAGTGAGTCTGTTCTTTTGGCTTTTGCCACCCATGATACCTGCCCCCAACTAGAATATTGATAATCTTGAGTTTTAGTTCTAGACTATGACATTACATTTTTGCACATGCACTACTTATTGAGATTTAAAAATAAATTATTTCTTTCACTTTGTTTCACGCATCCCACTATTTCTTCCTGTATTAATTTTTATTTTTATTAGAATACATCTTTTAGTAATTTGTTTAGAGAAAGTTCATGGCTAGTAAACTTTCATTTTTCTAGTTTGCCTGAAAATGTCTATTTTACTCTAATCCTTGAGTATTTGGTGCTCACAGTTATTTTTCTCTAGCACTTTGAAGATAAATATTTTTCTATTTCTTCCTGAATGTGATGTTGCTAATACAAATAAGATTCTTTTATCATTTTGTGTGTAGTTTGTTTATTCTCCTGATAACTATTAATACATTTCTCTTTGCCCCTGATATTGTGAAATTTTAGAGGAATCTTTAGGAGTAGGGTGAAAAAAATTTTATCCTGCTCAACATTCAGTATTGCCTTTGATCTAGAATGCAAGGAAAGGATGAGGAGAAGTGAAATGATAACATATAAATAATTCTACAGAAACAATGATTGTGTAAAACAAAAACAGTAATTGGGGAGGGGATAAATGAAGTTAAAATATTCTAAGAACCTCACGTTGTCTTGGGTGAGAAATAAAAATCCAATATAATTTGGATTATAATAAATGAAGAATGTATGTTATGATTTCTAGAGTAACCTTTAAAACTTCTAAACTAACAAAGAAAAATAATAAGAAATAATCAATTGAAAAGGAAGGCAATTATGGAAAGGAACAGAATATTGAACTGGTGGTACAAAAACAAGCACTGAGTAAAAGAGATGCAACCACAACTATGCCAGTAGTTTCATAACTACTACCTATAATAACATAAATGATAGAGTCAGATTACTAATATTTTGTTTAACATTTTGCAAGAGATTAGTTTGTAATTTTTCTTTTCTGTGTGACCTTTATCAAATTTTTCGTACCAGGTTAAGCTAGTTTCATAAAATAAAATTGGGAAATATTTCTTTTTCTATTCTTTGAACAGTTGAGTAAGATGGGCATTATTTTTAACCTAAATTTTGGGTAAAATTCACCAAAGAAGTGATCTAGGCCTCTAAAACTTAAAAATTTAAACTGTCTAAAATATAAGGATTCAGAGGGATTGAGTGTAACAGGCTGGACAGATATATGCTGTGCAAGCACTAAGCAAATTAATTATTTATGTTAAATTAAAACAAATTAGGCTTTAAGAAAAAAATGATTTCTAGAGATAATGAAAAGAATTTTAATTCACCAGGAAGATGTAGCAATTCTAAACTTTTATGTACCAATGGTCTTAAAATAACTCATCCTTTTATATGGCTGCATAGTATTCCATGGTGTACATGTGCCACATTTTCTTTGTCCAGTCTATCATCAATGGGCATTTGGGTTGGTTTCAGGTCTTTGCTATTATATGGTGCCGCAATGAACATATGTGTGCATGTGCCTTTATAATAGAATGATTTATAGTCCTTCGGATATATACCCAGTAATGGGATTGCTGGGTCAAATGGAATTTCTGTTTCTAGGTCCTTGAGGAACCACCACACTGCCTTCCACAATGATTGAACTAATTTACACTCCCACCAACAGTGTAAAATCTTAAGTTCTCTCTCTGCCAGTAATATGCTTTTCAGTTATATTAATTTTTACTTTGGTGTTTCACATTTAGTTAGTAATTCTATAGTGCTGTTTTTGGTACTCATTTTCTTTCTCTAGATATGCATTTTCCCTTATTTTGCCATCTTATTTTTGAACCCGCATTTTATCGAATCTGTTAAAGTTATTCTGTAGTATGAAATATTGTGAAGAACTTCTTTGTGGTTGTTTCTTGGGATATATTTTCTACTGACCGAGTTGTTTGTCTTTTGTATGCTATCTTCCTTTCATCCAATCTTTCTTCCTTCCCTCCTTCCTTTCTCTATGTTTATTTTGCTGTGTTAATGCTAGAATTGTTGCCATGTCTTTTCTTTTCATGTTGCATATGCTGCAGCAGCTCTGTCCAGATCTTCATTTTATTCTCAGGAATTAATGTAACTTTTTTTTTTGAGACGGAGTTTCGCTCTTGTTACCCAGGCTGGAGTGCAATGGTGCGATCTCGGCTCACTGCAACCTCCACCTCCTCGGTTCAGGCAATTCTCCTGCCTCAGCCTCCTGAGTAGCTGGGATTACAGGCACGCGCCACCATGCCCAGCTATTTTTTTGTATTTTTAGTAGAGACGGGGTTTCACCATGTTGACCAGGATGGTCTCGATCTGTTGACCTCGTGATCCACCCGCCTCGGCCTCCCAAAGTGCTGGGATTACAAGCTTGAGCCACCGCGCCCGGCCTGTAACTTTTACTACCCTTCCTACCTTATCTGAGACCAATATGTCTTTCTCAGAGAGCTGCATTTAAGGAAAATTGTTCTACCCGTTTTTATTGTAATTTATTGTATTATGGTGAAGTGTGGTATGGTCTTTGTTATAATACCTCAACTCTGCTGTTACATTTGAGGTTTGGTTAAATGACCCAAGAGTGTTCATTTGTTATTACACCTCCAATTAAGTGGAATGAATCTTGTTAAGGACGATCAAACCCTAGATCTGCCCATGGGATGATACTCTTGGGCATCATACATGACCCCGAATTCATCCGACAACCCTGAAGCTTTTAAGTCCCTTAATGAGTGATTTATATTGTTCATTCCCCTTTCTTTATTAATTTATCCCTAACAGTTGTTTCTACTTCTTCCTAGTAAGTTGAGAGAAAAAAAAATTTATTTACTCAATTTGCTTTACCCCAGGTCTGGGCATGTTAGTGTGAATTTTCTGGATTTTGCAGCTTATCAGTTTAGTTTCTGAGGAATGAGAATGGTTTTGAAGAGCCTAGCTCTGCTGTACTATTGTTTCCGGTCTAGAGTCTTAATTTCCTTGTCTGTCTCCATTTAACATGTATGGCATTAAATTGGTCCCCTGTTATTATTTAATTCATGTTGAATATCTTTTGCTGATTTTTTTACTTTTAAAAATTCTGTTGTTTATTTTTTTAGGTATTAGAGGAAAGGAAAACTAGCTAGATTTTGCTTTTTTCATCAACTCAAGCTGGAGTCCTCTGGACCAGTTTAGATAGCATTAAAATGAAAATTCTTTTTGAAAATTTGAAAGAACTTACTTTGAAAACTATTTGAGGTTATCATCTTTTGTTGGAGGGATGGGTGGTGGTGGATGAGTTTATAGGAAAAATTATTTGATAGTATTTTTCAACTACGATTATTGGTCTATCCATATTTTCATATCTTCTTGAATCAATATTGGCACAATTTTTTCCTCCAGAAAAATTTTCATTTTCCTAACATATTGAAAATCTAATCTCATATTACATGTAGTAAACTATTATAATAGTAATATTAGGGTGACTGTTCATAGTTACATCTCTTAACATTTCTAATGTCATTTCTATTCCATGCCCCTCTGTTCCATGTCAATCTTTCTATTTTGCAACAGCTGAATCATATATGTCAGAAATCTCCATTAATAAATTTTCATCATTCCTCATCATAGACAGTTTTCCTTTTTTCTCACATATCTTTTAAATCTTTCACATTCTATTTTTCTTCTTTTCTTCGTTCTTTGATCTGAGAGTGGTCTGTTAGTACCCTCACCGATTTTCATTATTCATAATGGAATACATTTGCTGGACTTGAATTAAAGAGAGGGACTATGTTTTCATCTGATGTGAATTCTGCTCTAAGCTTTTAAAAATGGCCTACTGATATCAATTAACCACTCTCATCGGTCTATGTATGCTCTCAAATCTTAACTGTCTTAAACATAATATATTTTTATCTATAATGCTCATTGACTGTCTTAAACATAATATATTTTTATCTATAATGCTCACCATCAACTGGTAGGTCTTTTGAAAAATCTTTAAGTTCTTTTTCTGAGAGCTCAATCCCCATATTTTCCAGAAGTTTATCCAAGTTATTTATATCAACCTTTCCTCCTTAAGAGAGACAAAATATAATTAAAAATAATACTAAGATGTGAAAAAAAATCCTTCTTAATTCATATGTGGTTATCACTTGAATCATCAAGACATAAAGTTTAATCGTATCTAGGTAAGGGTACAAATAGGGTCACCACTAAAAATAGATGTAGAATCTCATCCTTTGACTATATCTTTTGTTCATATCAACATAGTGCAAGTTTTATAGGGTACTGGGTAATTTTCCAAAGAACTGTGGCATAATATATCTAACATATCCATAAATATTGGAAGGATACATATATGAGATTTTAAATTTAATACAAATAAATTTGTATAAATTAAAAACAAGAGAATATCTCAGATTCACCTGCTTTCTCACTATCCTTTCCACTTACTTTTAATAGTCTTTATACCATCCAGCAACCTTTTTTTATATACCTTTCCTTCAGCTGTAAGAAAAGACACAATTCAGGTCAGAGAATAATAAAGGGAGACTTGCTAAATAATAAAAATGTGACAATTCTTCCCCTAATCCCAAAATTTCAAAAAGATGGAGTTTTAAATATTTTTCTCTGAAATTTACCTATTTTTCTCTCAATTAGTAATGAAGGTTATTTGGAGACACTTTAATGAGGTAGAAATGTTTACACTTATACAAAAGCAGTAATTATTGGCTTAAACATTTTGAAATTTATATCTCATTTGATTTACCTTTATCTCTAATATCTTTCCTTATACCCCTCTTAATTTTCCATTTTACATCCTCCTCTGTACTATCAGGCTCATTAATGTAATCAATGACAACAATATACATGTCTTATTGGACTGAATGAGTATAATAGCTACTGTTTATCATAATAAAAATAAAATGACCCAGATTGATTTTTTTGGCAAAAATCTAGTAATTATAAGAACTTCTAAAACTAGAAGTAGAATCTCAACCTCTTTTGTGTGTATCAACATAGTGTGAGTTTTATAGGATGCTGGGTAATTTTCCAAAGAACTATGGTATAATATATCTAAAATATTCATAAATATTGGGAAGATACCTACATGGAATTTTTAATTTAATACAAATAAATTTGTGCAAATGAAAAATAGGAGAATATCTCAGATTTACCTGCTTTCTTGCCATACTTTGAACTTAAAAAAACCCTGGTAACAATTTTGTACCATTTTAGGAGAAAATCTCTTAATCAAGTACTCTGAAGCCCATTGAAAAATACGTATGTTTTAAATTCTTACCATCAAGTGGCAAAGTTTTTACTAAATGCAAGTAGTCATCATATGTGACCTCTATTCCCATGTCTTTTAGTGCATCTTCTAGGTCACTGACATCTACCTCTTCTCCTAGAAAAGAGACAGAAATGGTGACAAAAACAAATTTGAGAAGAAGACAAATTAGTGATTTCTTACAATCAAATACTCTTAACTAACAATATTTTCACTCATATACCATTACAATAATTTCAAAGGTACTTAAAATCATGTATTGTACAACAATCAAAAAGTTCAAGTTTATAATAATTTCAATTAATTATGTAAACAGAGAAAAATAAAACAAGTAATAATTTGGTTCTTTTCTTACAGTATAGAAGTTTAACTATTTCCCCTGATTTTTAAAAAAAAATTATGTTAGGAGCAGTAAAATGTGAGACACATACATTTCACCTTGAAAAGTACATAGATTACATAAATTATATTAATTATTAAGTAATGCAATACCCATAAAATCCACATAGTAAATGCTTGATAGAAAGTATATTGCAAAAATGGGGGCTCAGCCAACATTACCTTTATAGTAAAGCCAGACAATGGCACTACAGGAAAAGAAAATTATAGGCCAATATCTCTGATAAACATGCATGTAAAAATCATCAACAAAATACTAGTAAACCTAATTCAACATCACATTAAAAGTACCATTAACTATGATCAAGTGAGATTTATCCCTGGAGGCAATGATGGTTCAACATATACAAATCAATACATGTGATACACCACATTAGCAGAATGAAGGAAAAATCCATATGATCATCTCAACAGACGCAGAAAAGGATTCAACAACATCCTTTTATGATAAAAATGCAACAAATTATATATAGAATAAAAGTTCTTCAACACAATAAAGTTCATATAGGACAAACCTACAGCTAACATCATGCTCAATAGTGAAAAGTTGAAACTTTCCCTCTAGGATCAGGAACAAGACCAGGAAACCTACTTTTTAACAAAAATTTTACTTTAAGTTCTGGGTTACATATGAAGAATGTGCAGGTCTGTTACATAGGTATACATGTTTCATAGTGGTTTGCTGCACCTATCAACCCATCATCTAGGTTTTTTTTTTTTTTTTTTTTTGAGATGGAGTTTCGCTCTTGTGACCCAGGCTGGAGTGCAATGGCGCGATCTCGGCTCACCACAACCTCCGCCTCCTGGGTTCAGGCAATTCTCCTGTCTCAGCCTCCCGAGTAGCTGGGATTACAGGCACGCGTCACCATGCCCAGCTAAATTTTTTTGTATCTTTAGTAGAGATGGGGTCTCAACATGTTGACCAAGATGGTCTCGAGCTCTTGACCTCATGATCCACCCGCCTCAGCCTCCCAAAGTGCTGGGATTACAGGCGTGAGCCACCGCGCCCAGCCTCATCTCGGTTTTAAGCCCCACATGAATTAGGTACTTCTCCTAATGCTCTCCCTCCCCTTGTACCCCAACCCCCAACAGTTCCCCTCCCCATGTCCATGTGTTCTCATTGTTCAGCTCCCACTTATGAGTGAGAACATGTGGTATTTGGGTTTCTGGTTTCTATATTAGGTTGCTGAGAATGATGGTTTCCAGGGAAGCCCACTTTTTTTTTTAATTTTTAATTTTTTTTTTTTAAGATGGGGTTTTACCATGATGGCCAGGCTGGTTTTGAACTCCTGCCCTCAGGTGATCCACCCACCTCGGCCTCCCAAAGTGCTAGAATTACAGGTGTGAGCCACCATGCCCAGCAATTTTTAATTTTTTTTAAAAATTTTATTGGATTTTAGGTTTTGGGGTACATGAGCAGAGCATGCAAGACAGTTGCGTAGGAACACACATGGCAGTGTGCTTTTCTTTCCTTCTCCCCTTCACCCACATTTGGCATTTCTCCCCAGGCTATCCCTCCCCACCTCCCCCTCCCACTGGGCCTCCCCTTTTCCCCCCAATAGACCCCAGTGTTTAGTACTCCCCTTTCTGTGTCCATGTGTTCTCATTTTTCATCACCCACCTATGAGTGAGAATATGCGGTGTTTCATTTTCTGTTCTTGTGTCAGTTTGCTGAGGATGACGTTCTCCAGATTCATCCATGTCCCTACTAACGACACAAACTCATCATTTCTGATTGCTGCATAATATTCCATGGTGTATATGTGCCACATTTTTCCAATCCAGTCTATTATCAATGGGCATTTGGGTTGATTCCAGGTCTTTGCTATTGTAAACAGTGCTGCAATGAATATTCGTGTACATGTGTCCTTATATTAGAATGATTTATAGTCTTTTGGATATATACCCAGTAATGGGATTGCTGGGTCAAATGGAATTTCTATTTCTAAGGCCTTGAGGAATCACCACACTGTCTTCCACAATGGTTGAACTAATTTACACTCCCACCAACAGTGTAAAAGTGTTCCTTTTTCTCCACATCCTCTCCAGCATCTGTTGTCTCCAGATTGTTTAATGATCGCCATTCTAACTGGCGTGAGATGGTATCTCAATGTGGTTTTGATTTGCATCTCTCTGATGACCAGTGACGATGAGCATTTTTTCATATGATTGTTGGCCTCATATATGTCTTCTTTCGTAAAGTGTCTGTCCTTTGCCCACTTTTGAATGGGCTTGTTTGTTTTTTTCCTGTAAATCCGTTTGAGTTCTTTGTAAATTCTAGATATCAGCCCTTTGTCAGATGGGTAAACTGCAAACATTTTTTCCCATTCTGTTGGTTGCCAATCCACTCTAGTGACTGTTTCTTTTGCCGTGCAGAAGCTGTGGAGTTTCATTAGGTCCCATTTGTCTATTTTGGCTTTTGTTGCCAATGCTTTTGGTGTTTTGTTCTTGAAGTCCTTGCCTACTCCTATGTCCTGGATAGTTTTGCCTAGATTTCCTTCTAGGGTTTTTATGGTGCCAGGTCTTATGTTTAAGTCTTTAATCCATCTGGAGTTAATTTTAGTGTAAGGTGTCAGGAAGGGGTCCAGTTTCTGCTTTCTGCACATGGCTAGCCAGTTTTCCCAACACCATTTGTTAAACAGGGAATCCTTTCCCCATTGCTTGTTTTAGTCAGGTTTATCAAAGATTGTATAGTTGTAGATATGTTGTGTTGCCTCCGGTGCCTCTGTTTTGTTCCATTGGTCTATATCTCTGTTTTGGTACCAGTACCATGCTGTTTTGATTACTGTAGCCTTGTAGTATAGTTTGAAATCCGGTAGTGTGATGCCCCCCGCTGTGTTCTTCTTGCTTAGAATTGACTTGGCTATGCGGGCTCTCTTTTGGTTCCATATGAAGTTCATGGTGGTTTTTTCCAGTTCTGTGAAGAAAGTCAATGGTAGCTTGATGGGGATAGCGTTGATTCTGTAAATTACTTTGGGCAGTATAGCCATTTTCACGATATTAATTCTTCCTAACCATGAACATGAAATGTTTCTCCATCTGTTTGTGTCCTCTCTGATTTCGTTGAGCAGTGGTTTGTAGTTCTCCTTGAAGAGGTCCCTTACGTTCCTTGTGAGTTGCATTCCAAGGTATTTTATTCTTTTTGTAGCAATTGCAAATGGCAGTTCGTTCTTGATTTGGCTTTCTTTAAGTCTGTTATTGGTGTAGAGGACGGCTTGTGATTTTTGCACATTGATTTTATATCCTGAGACTTTGCTGAAGTTGCTTATCAGTTTCAGGAGTTTTTGGGCTGAGGCGATGGGGTCTTCTAGGTATACTATCATGTCGTCTGCAAATAGAGACAATTTGGCTTCCTCCTTTCCTATTTGAATACCCTTTATTTCTTTTTCTTGCCTGATTGCTCTAGCTAGAACTTCCAGAACGATATTGAATAGGAGTGGTGAAAGAGGGCATCCTTGTCTAGTGCCAGATTTCAAAGGGAATGCTTCCAGTTTTTGCCCATCCAGTATGATATTGGCTGTTGGTTTGTCATAAATAGCTTTTATTACTTTGAGATATGTTCCATCGATACCGAGTTTATTGAGGGTTTTTAGCATAAAGGGCTGTTGAATTTTGTCAAATGCCTTCTCTGCGTCAATTGAGATAATCATGTGGTTTTTGTTTTTGGTTCTGTTTATGTGGTGAATTACGTTTATAGACTTGCGTATGTTGAACCAGCCTTGCATCCCCGGGATGAATCCTACTTGATCATGGTGAATAAGTTTTTTGATTTGCTGTTGAAATCGGCTTGCCAATATTTTATTGAAGATTTTTGCATCTATGTTCATCATGGATATTGGCCTGAAGTTTTCTTTTCTTGTTGGGTCTCTGCTGGGTTTTCGTATCAGAATGATGTTGGTCTCGTAAAATGATTTGGGAAGTATTCCCTCTTTTTGGATTGTTTGAAATAGTTTTAGAAGGAATGGTACCAGCTCCTCTTTGTGTGTCTGGTAGAATTCAGCTGTGAACCCGTCTGGACCTGGGCTTTTTTTGTGTGTTAGGCTCTTAATTGCTGCCTCGACTTCTGACCTTGTTATTGGTCTATTCATAGTTTCAGCTTCCTCCTGGTTTAGGCTTGGGAGGACGCAGGAGTCCAGGAATTTATCCATTTCTTCCAGGTTTACTAGTTTATGTGCATAGAGTTGTTTGTAATATTCTGATGATGGTTTGAATTTCTGTGGAATCTGTGGTGATTTCCCCTTTATCATTTTTTATTGCATCTATTTGGTTGTGCTCTCTTTTCTTTTTAATCAATCTGGCTAGTGGTCTGTCTATTTTGTTGATCTTTTCAAAAAACCAGCTCTTGGATTTATTGATTTTTTGAAGGGTTTTTCGTGTCTCAATCTCCTTCAGTTCAGCTCTGATCTTAGTTATTTCTTGTCTTCTGCTGGGTTTTGAGTTTTTTTTATCTTGCTCCTCTAGCTCTTTCAATTTTGACGATAGGGTATCAATTTTGGATCTCTCCATCCTCCTCATATGGGCACTTATTGCTATATACTTTCCTCTAGAGACTGCTTTAAATGTGTCCCAGAGGTTCTGGCATGTAGTGTCTTTGTTCTCATTGGTTTCGAAGAACTTCTTTATTTCTGACTTCATTTCATTGTTTACCCAGTCAACATTCAAGAGCCAGTTGTTCAGTTTCCATGAAGCTGTGCGGTTCTGGGTTGGTTTCTGTATTC